TGTGAAGGAAATTTGGAACTGCCCATGCCGATGACTACTTACATGATATCGCTACAAACTAAAGATAGACTTTTGTTTTCCTATTACACATAATATGTTTAATGTCATATAGAATTAGTTGTTTAAGGTTTTAGATATGATTTATTTATTTACCATTATGCATTTTTAATGTAATAGATTTTAAATGTTTGTCGCCTAATAGGTAAGGCAGTCGGTGTATTTCTTCTTCCAATACTACTACTAGTATACTGGAATTCAAACGGGCTAATCTGCATATACTTTTTCTGCATGGGATATTAGTATGATTTTAATAAAACAAACGTAATAAGGGTTGGAACGAATGAGCATTAATAAAAGCTTTGTAACGTGAGTACTGCAAGTAAAAGTTTCGTGGCGACGCCGGGCGAATTTGCGAACTGCCTCTAGCGAGCACCCTGCGCGAATATTAAAAGTTACGTCGAGACGTGTTACGCGTGTTTGTTTTACAAAAAGGGAAATTGTCGGATGACGAGGTCTTTCGGACCTTGGAATTGTCGCTTAATTTAAAACCACAAGTGTACGCAATCGGCCGGTGAACATAAGCACTTCAGAGTTCCATACACGTCTTGAAGAAGTTTGATGAAAGAGATCTTTTTTAGTAATAATAATAATAATAAAAGCCTTTATTCAGACGCAAAGGATGTTTACAAATAATAAACTTAAATTAACGACTCTGCCGAGTCGATGACATGGACAACTTCGTCTGTTTGCCCAGCTTTGGTAAAGGCCTCCTCCATTTCTTTCCATTCTACTCGGTTTAGAGCTTTCCTTGTCCATAGTTTTCCTGCTACCGTCTTTATCTCGTCTTTCCACCTCCGAATCTGTCTGCCTCGTTTCCTTTTTCTATCTCTAGGGTACCAAAACACTATGCTTTTGTTCCATTTTTCGATGCCTCTTATTGTATGTCCTGTCCATTGCCATTTTAGTTTCCGAATTCTAGTTAAAACATTTTGTATCTTATTGCGACCTCTAATGACTTTGTTTCGTACTCTGTCTGATTTTCTTAAATTCAGCATGCAGATTTTTTTAATTAGTAAATGACTAAAGATTTAGTAACTCGGAACAAATCACGCTCGGTCATCAGCCCACTGAGTTTCTCGCCGGATCTTCTCAGTGGGTCGCGTTTCCGATGCGGTGGTAGATTCTGCGAAGCACGGCTCTTGCGGGTTCGTGTTAGCAACGTCGTCAGGTTTGAGCCCCGTGAGCTCACTTACTAGTTAAGATTACGCTGCAATAGCATCTCAAGGCTACCAGCTCAGGTAGAAAAAAAAAAAAAACAACTCGGTCATCCGGCCCCAATTTAGGATTCCCTGTATTGAAGAGACTGACATACATATTCGTTCAATTTCGTTCATAAACTTTGGTTACGAACTCAACGTGTTTCTTCTCTTGTTGAACCTTTTTTTTTCTGTGAGTTATTGTGGGATCGGTGCAGATTATCTTAGTCATAGAAAGCTGTGATCTCAGTTGCGATATCTGACGCCCTCATGTCCAGACTTCATTGCATAAACCGCCAACTTTCTATCACTTCGCCTCAATATCTGCTTGCATTCTCTTTATGCATTTGTTTAATGTTTCATCATTTTGTTGTTTGCCTGGTACTTTCGATTATTTAATTTAAGGAACAGTCCTATTTTAACGCAGTCCCACAATTCTGTTCTTGCTTTGCTAGATTGCACCTTCTGCCACGGGAATAATAAAAAAAAAAGTGCGTGCGTACAAAGTACACATGTCAGAAGTGAAACTTCTTTGGCGAGCTAATTTATAAGTCTTGCTTATATTTATACAAATCTAAAACTTTAAATTTCCGAGACCTAGAGGAAGGGAAAAAGGAAGATATGTTCCCGCCAAAAGTCTGTCAAATGTCAATCTCAAATCTCAGTGTTGACAGTCACATTATGTTTAGATTTCTAAATTGTAAATGACTAATATTTTGCCAATTGAATTGACTAATTTAATTTCATGCTATTTGATTAATGTTCCAAATTATTTTCATTTCATTTCAATTCCTATTAACATTTTTCACAAAAAAAATATAAAATATTAGGCTGTATGGTATGATACATTTGCCTTTCCAGTTGGAAAAATACAACAACTACTACTACTGACATTTGACAAGTACTTAAGACACTTCCGTTGCATACCTACGTGACGTTACGTCTGTAAAAATTTTACCCTCATGCGCTTAAAGAAGTTTCACTTCAAAAATTGAACTCCCAAAGTGCAACTGAGATAATTCTCGAAACTGTGATGATAATGCAAGACCTTACCCACTGAGTCTCTCGCCTGATCTGGTAGTAGATTCAGCAAAGCCCTGCTCTTACTAGGGCTAGTGTTAGCTATTCTCTCAGGTTGAGCTCGTGAGATCACCTACACGTCAAAGAGAAGCTGATATAGCCTCTCAAGGCTATCAGCATAGGTAGGAAAAAAAGGACTAAAATAAAATAGCTTACTCCTTAACACTGTGACCTTGTCCTTAATATTTCATAATTACTCATAATACATCAATATTTTTGTGTTTTAATAAATATTAGCCTTGGATCTTGCGAACAACAGAACGGCCTTAATGACTCAGATTGTTCTGACCGCACGTTTCCAGGACTCGATTGGAACTCCATTGAAATTGTGTTTACTCAACAGTTTCGAGCTGATGCAATTGCCTTCGAGAAACATTGCGTCATGGGTTAGCATCATCAGCGGCCGTGTTTTAAATTGATTTATTGGTAAGTGGGGATTTTTTTAAAGAAAACAACTGTGTGTGGTGTTATTCTTCCTCTTGTATCAAAATTTGGCTGTCTAGTGATTATCTAGAGAAACACCATCGCATTTTTTATCTTGGTAGGAATAGAGTACTCTAGGTACTTATACCAGCATACTGTAATCTTCCCCTATGAAACCCAGTCGAAGAAGACTACTGCTGAAATCCCGGTCATCGTTCTGGTCAAACCCGTCGCTTGCGACGGAGGGCTCGACGAGTAAATTAACCCTCAGACACAGCCCACTGAGTTTCTCGCCGGATCTTCTCAGTGGGTCGCGTTTCCAATCCGGTGGTTCTGATTCTGCGAAGCACGGCTCTTGCTAGGGTTCGTGTTAGCAACGTCGTCAGGTTTGAGCTCCTCTGACCTACTAGTTAAGGTTACGCTGAAATAGCCTCTCAAAGCTCTCAGCTTAGGTGGGGGAAAAAAAATGCTGAAAATCAGACTTTAAGAATGATTGCATCCATAAATTTTATCAAGTAATCTGTTTTCTCTGTTGAACCCAGATTGCCTAAGCTTCTGAGTTACTAGAGGAAGTATCATGCAACCTACATGCTACATTTTTCTCGATAGTTAGCAGGACCGTTAGCAGTGTAATAGCAGAAGAATAGACCGACTGGTTTTTAATGCTCTGTGTGTAAATAATATCAACAGATATGAAAAAACGTAAAGTTTTTGTGACATGAATTCGATTGAACTATTCGACAAGAGTCGCACTCTCCAAATCGGCACGACTATCTGTGTACGCTTCAACGACTGGCTGTTGTTGATGGCGACAACAAAATTTCCACCGATCATCTATAAGCATGACCTAGAAATTCCAAGTCGGCTACCATCCAATTCGAACACAGATAGCAATAATATTCAAAATAGACTTACCTATTCATACGCGCTTACCAAACTCCCTTCCGTCATTACGCAAAATAAGCGTCCTATCTTTTTATTTTTTATTGCTTAGATGGGTGGACGAGCTCACAGCCCACCTGGTGTTGAGTGGTTACTGGAGCCCATAGACATCTACAACGTAAATGCGCCGCCCACCTTGAAATATAAGTTCTAAGGTCTCAAGTATAGTTACAACGGCTGCCGTACCCTTCAAAACCGAAACGCATTACTGCTTCACGGCAGAAATACGCAGGGTGGTGGTACCTACCCGCGCGGACTCACAAGAGGTCCTACCACCACTATCTACACTATTTTTTTGTTTCATCTTTGAAGTCATCCAAGCTAGAAGCGTTTTGTGCTCACTCAAACCATCTCAAATCTGAACACAGCCCCGCTAATCACGAAGCCACAAAACTGGTACGTATGTAAACATTATTATGATGACATCAGCGGCGCTAATATTAAAACTTGGCACCACACAACGCATGGATCATACGAAACACTGGGGTATCGGGAAACCGGGATTATTTGGAGGAGCGTAAACAATCAGAACTACTTACCAATTCGATTTTTAGTTCACGAAAGAGATTATACAGATCAACGCCACATCTAAATTAGGTATTGATATTGGAATTAGAAATATCAGTCCAATATCGTTTGCCATAATTTTATATAATATTAATCTTCAGTTTGAAACATTTTGTGCCCACAGCTCCATGATTGTTTATTCGTAACTCATGTAAAATATCGATACAAAATTACGTATATGAAGGTTGATTTTTTAAGAGTAATTCTATCTAGATTTATCTAAACAGTTAGTCTCTAAATTAGTCCTGGAGATAACAAGACAAAAGACGAACTGTAGAGTAAATAAATTAATAAAAAATGGTTGCATAATCCATATTCACGCTGAGAACACGTACTATGGAACAAACAGAGATAGAACAATCATTTATTACAATAAATAGTTTAGGTAACAATAACTTTAATAAAATGATGAAATATTTTTCTGACAACAAAACATATTCAGAGCGAAATTCTTATACATAATTATGTCTAAGCAAATATTATTAATAAATCGAATAATTCTTTGCGCGGCAAAACTTGAATACGCATAAAAAAAAAAATATTCTCAGAAAGACTCCTTAATAATGTTATTTCCGTATCACATGCTTCATTATAGAGATTAATGATCATACTGATAAAACTCAATCCATCTTATATTCTAAGAAAACACAATGAAACTTAAGAAAATAAAACCATAGAAATGAAATAATGACCGTGAAAATTATTCATGTATTTGACTTTACATTGACTCACCGTAGCGACAATCCTTTTGTATTCACAAAACAAAGCACAAACACACTTTGAACGGCACTTCAATTTATTACACAAACATTTGGTAAATAAATACGTTAATTTATAATATTTCGTTTTTAAAATTCGTCGTGTCGTGGCGCTCGCGCTTTTGCGTTCGCGCGCGGAATGAAGCGAGTTGCGCGCGCATTCGATCCCCGCGCTCGCAACAGAAATAGTCGTGAGTCAGTTTTAGTTTCAAGAAATTAAATTCAAAAGAAAAATATTTTGTTTCGAATATGCACATATTCACAAGTATGACCGCAATTCATGATAAAGATATAAAAGTTATTAATGTCTGAAAAGAATGATTTTTTAGTTGTTTTTTATTCGAACTCTTTCAGTCGTGTACTTGGAGTTGAATGTAGTAGGTACATAATAATAATACTAATAATTTGTTTATTTTTCTCTTAAAGTTATAATACAAATACATATAGAGATTAACTAGATTAATTAGGTGCGATGCGGTGAGATGGTACCATCCTGGTTAATTCCATAAAGTTGTAATGTCTACAGGTTCTAAGTATCAGTTGGAGGGCATGAGCTTTAACAATAAAAAACTTTTACTTGAAAATTGGTACTTCAAAAATTTTTAAATTTCAATAACCACGATTTTGCTTCGGGTTGTGAGTTTCCTCCTTCATTTTAATGAACTCAGCTAAAACAAGTTTTTCACAAACTTTATTAAGCTTCTGAAAATGTTCACAGATGGCAGTAGTTAGCGATCTGATATCGCGACTAAACGTACGTATTGAAAGTGAACCCAACATCCGTAGTTGGTATATTTAGTTCTGTCTTGTTGTACTAGATGGCAGTAAAAGTTTAGACTAAAATAAAAAAAGGGGTTGTCAAATTATTTTTGTGTTACTATGCGCACAGTTGTTAATGTTGAAATCACTGGGTGTGTCCCGCGACTCCACCTATAGTTTGTCGAAAACAATTATGAAATTAGATTTGTAAAATGAACATTTAAAATACAACTATGTAATTCCAACCTTAGAGTCAAATTTAAAACTAAAGTTTTGTATAGCCGAATATACCGCTAAGGTAACTAACTGCCTTTTCTAATCTACTGTTAATAGAGAAGGATTTCTTTCAAATTTGTTTTGGCGGAAACTATGATGTCATAGCACTCAGGAAACACTATGTAGTTGATTTCAAAAGTGGCTGATACGAAAATCGTTCGTTGGAAAAACGATGTCTCTTAAACCGACAATTTGTGGCACTTATTATAGTTTGTAGCACTTATAGTATCTAGTAGACAACTTATTATTGTTCTATACGATCCAATAGTGGCAGAAGCTTTCTATTTCACACACCATGTTATATTTTGACATTTTTAAATAAAAGCTGAACATATTGCATTGCAAATCACACGATAACCTTTTAACATAAGTAATATGATAAAAAAACATGAAATTGCGAGGAAAGTGATACGTATTGACCTTATGAAATTAACCCCTTACGTCATGGTCTTTAATCTTTATTGAATATACATAATAATATAGTATAGGTTATCTACAGTTAAGGGTTTAGTTAATTTGATAGACTGAACTACTAACTTTTACACTTATCCCTTTCCCGTGGCAATCATTCGTGAGAACAATGTTATACTATGTAAGTAATTAAGCCCACGGTATATTTCCATGACCTCATTGGGTATATTACGACTTACAATCACGCTTTTACCTAACTTGCCTAAAACAACGGATTAAGTTGGATAGTTTATTCGTGATATCTTTTCAGTAGCCTTATTGGTTATCACTAGTCCACCAAGCAGACGTCCGACGAATCCACATTCTACTTTCTTTCACTCTCGAAGTTCATGCATTAATTCAAGAGGTTTCATGCAGTGCTCAATGCTCATGTATTTTATACGAAGACCGTAGTTAAAGACTGTGTGTGCTTCCGTTAAGATCAAAACAATGCTATATTAAGGTACCACTCAAGCGGTCTGATGGTAACTTAATCCTAGAATGATGACATGTCAGTCAAACGTGTATAAAACATACGTTTAAAAAAATAAATGCAAAAAAGGTCTACACAGTATTGGCTAAAATGACCGGCACTTTTGAAAAAAAACACTTTTTTGCCCTTCCTATTTGCTGGTGGCCTAAATGGCTAGTTCAACTACAGGCAGACTGGAGAAAATAGAGTAAAGGTCTCGCAAGTTGTAGTTGGGCTACTCAGGCAGACTGGAGAAAATAGAGTAAAGGTCTCGCAAGTTGTAGTTGGGCTACTCAGGCAGACTGGAGAAAATAGAGTAAAGGTCTCGCAAGTTGTAGTTGGGCTACTAGTCAAAGATCATTTAGAAGTTCAGAGCGAATTAAATAGTTGAATGATTGTTTGGATAAACAGGCTGATAATCTATATATTATATGCCTGTTTGGAGTGTTAAGTATTCTATAATAGCAGTCTATTGAATCACTTAACATCATACTAATTAACGGCATATCCCAAAAAAACTAAATTCTTTCAATCTTCAAGAAAACAATAATTACAGCGGATAGATGACAGTCATCCTATTTTTGTATTTTTGATTAATAACGGACTTTTATAAAGTATAAGTATGTCTAAAAATCTAATTTTCCTTGTTGATGCTACACAATTTTTAAATACATTTACCAACATTTACTGACTGCACAAATAGTAGACGCGATCCGTGCCTTCCATGCTTTGAGCAGCCCTGGTTTAAGTTTAAAGTACCATTGTGTTGTGTATAGTGAATTTTTCAATGTGTGCGTTTAGACGCGATTGGATGATTTCACATACAAAAACGTAATTTTACTACCATAAAACTATACAGTTTAATCTCATTTCACTATAAAATTAAATAATAATTCACAGTTTGGCGAAATTAAGAGTAGTATTCGAAAAAAACATACTTTCAATTCCATATTGATTTTGCACACATATGAACAAAATGTTTCTGGCAGTGGTCGCGTGGGAGCCCCACCGCGCCGGCCGGGCCGGGCGGCCCCGCGGAACCCAGTCGACACTCACACAGAGTAAAGCTTTTAGTGTTGGGACACTGCATCGCAACCGCACATTTATCGGTTTAATTGTAACTTGTGCCAATTTTTGTTTAAAATTTTATCATTCTGAAAATAATTAGTTTTGAGCTAAGTCTGCTTATTTTAAGTATGCTTTCAATATAGAATTTCAAATAGATTTTTTTCGTTTGCAAATAATAGTACTGTATTAAGCTGCAGTGTTCTCTAGCCGCAGTTGTAGCGGTTGTAGAAGTGAATCGCGAGCATGACGAAAATCTCGACTGGTTGATTTCTTAATGTTTATATAAACCGAATGCTTCAGGTCGGTTGTCTCAGCTTTTATGGATCAACCATCAAATTATAAATAAACCTCAAATTTCGAAAACTTAGGTATTTTTTTTGCTTAGCTGGATGGACAAGCCCACGGCCCACCTGGTGTTAAGTAGTTAATGAAGCTCATAGACATCTACAACGTAAATACCGCCATCTACTTTGAGATATGAGTTCTAAGGTTTCAGTTTTTACAGTACAACGGCTCCACCCTTCAAGTCGAAACGCATTACTGCTACATGGCTGAAATAGGCATTAATAATCAGAAATAGTACAGTAAAGGTAATAGATGTATTCTTGAAGTAGCTGCATTTAAGCTGTTTAGTCTCTTTTGGGGGCGCTCGGGCAGCTGTTAGCAAATCTCACTCCTCCTGGCTGAACCCGTGCTCACCCACCTGTCTTGGTGAAACTGGAAAGGCCTTCGGTCGACATGTAATTCTTCCTTCCCAAAAAAATATATTCACAAACCGAATATTAATTAACCATTTTGCCTCTAAATTGTACAAACTCAGGATTTTGTCAGACCGCTTCTTAGGATGAATATCCTCCATTATTACAAGACTTTTGACTTTGAATTGTCTTTCTACGAATAGTGTTTGAAAACAATATTTAGGCTACACAGCGGCCTGGCTGTAACTAAGACTAATATTCAAATAATAATTCTCAATAAAGAAGGGTTAGAAGATTGGTTGGAATTTTTAAAAAGTAAAAAGAAAAATTCAAAAAGATATTTAGTGACGGTCGATGAGCCGAAAGTTAATGTACAACACTTAAATAAAATTGTCGCCGGTGAATCATCAACCAACCTACATTATTCCAGCAATGGAGATATAATGCAGCTTTTACCTTATTGGTGGAGGTTCCAGTGCGGCAATTTTTCAGCCAATCATAACACAGCACGGATAGCGTCATTCCCCCAGAACGCTGATCCTATATAAGCCGCTGTAACGGTTTTCTCCGCATTCATATTCGTTTGGCAAGCCACTTAACCGGTCGCGCTGAACGACGACTGATTATAATTTAATTCTACATTTAAGCATAGAAAAAAACTCAAATCAAAATGGTGAGTTGTTTAATTATTTCATTTCTTCAATTTTAAATTTACTTCGATATATTTTAACTAAATTCATGGCTTCATGTGCCGGTCGGGCACGCCACCATTTTGTGTACGTAATGACGGCCACGTTCGATAAGTGTCAATTAAATTTCGAAAGATTGTTTGATTCTTTTGTTTCAAAATCTCAATGGCTTAGTAAGTTTAGTCGTTTTTTGTTTCGATTAAATTCGTCTGCCGACGTTTTTGTGGTCTAGTTCAAGGTGCCGCTACCACGCCCTTGGTCGTTCGAATCTTGTTAGACACAAAAACATTTAGTGAATTTAAATATGTTAGCAGAAATGTTTTTAATGAGACTTCGTTTTTTATGAATAAAAGCATATTAGTCACGGACACATGGTCGATGATCTCATTTGAAGCCGGTGATATCATCTGTGTTGAAAATGAAATGTTCTAGATAATATGCCGCCTTATTGAACACGGAAAGCGTGACGTGGTGATTTCACCTTTCACCGTAAATTTATCGAGCCAATAAATAAATGTATTATAATTTTATTAAAAACCTAGTCCATAGCTATCGTTGATTAGTATGTATTTTCTGATCTTTTTCTTTTCTTTAAACAGCGTGAGTGCATCTCTGTACACGTTGGCCAAGCCGGAGTCCAGATCGGTAATGCCTGCTGGGAGCTTTACTGCCTGGAGCACGGCATCCAGCCTGATGGCCAGATGCCCACAGACAAGACCATCGGGGGTGGAGACGATTCTTTCAACACTTTCTTCAGCGAGACCGGAGCTGGCAAGCACGTACCCCGTGCTGTCTTCGTCGATCTTGAACCTACTGTTGTTGGTCAGTATTACGAACACTAGACCAAAAATTTTACTTAATTGAACCAGATTAAGTGATATTAAATGTATTTTTTTTTTTACACAGATGAGGTCCGCACTGGCACATACAGACAGTTGTTTCATCCAGAACAACTTATTACTGGTAAGGAAGATGCGGCCAACAACTATGCCCGTGGTCACTACACCATTGGAAAGGAAATCGTAGATTTGGTTTTGGACAGAATCCGCAAGCTCGCTGACCAGTGTACCGGTCTGCAAGGATTCCTGATCTTCCACTCCTTCGGTGGAGGTACCGGCTCTGGGTTCACTTCCCTATTGATGGAGCGTCTCTCCGTTGACTACGGCAAGAAGTCTAAACTGGAGTTCGCCATCTACCCCGCGCCTCAGGTTTCCACTGCCGTCGTCGAGCCCTACAACTCTATCCTCACCACCCACACAACCCTTGAGCACTCTGACTGTGCTTTCATGGTCGACAATGAAGCCATCTATGACATCTGCCGCCGTAATCTCGACATTGAGCGCCCAACCTACACCAACCTGAATCGTCTCATCGGACAGATTGTCTCCTCGATCACTGCTTCTTTGAGATTCGACGGCGCTCTGAATGTGGACCTCACCGAGTTCCAGACTAACTTGGTGCCTTACCCCCGTATCCACTTCCCACTGGTCACGTACGCGCCAGTCATCTCTGCCGAGAAGGCCTACCATGAACAGCTTTCCGTTGCCGAGATCACAAACGCATGCTTCGAGCCCGCCAACCAGATGGTGAAATGCGACCCCCGTCATGGCAAGTACATGGCTTGCTGTATGCTGTACCGTGGTGACGTCGTACCCAAGGATGTGAACGCGGCCATCGCTACCATCAAAACCAAGCGTACTATCCAATTCGTCGACTGGTGTCCAACCGGTTTCAAGGTCGGTATCAACTACCAGCCACCCACCGTGGTGCCCGGAGGCGACTTGGCCAAGGTTCAACGTGCCGTCTGCATGTTGTCCAACACCACCGCCATCGCCGAAGCTTGGGCTCGCCTTGACCACAAGTTCGACCTCATGTACGCCAAGCGTGCTTTCGTGCACTGGTACGTCGGTGAGGGTATGGAGGAGGGAGAATTCTCCGAAGCCCGTGAGGACCTGGCTGCCCTCGAGAAGGATTACGAAGAAGTCGGTATGGACTCCGCTGAAGGCGAGGGTGAGGGAGCCGAAGAGTACTAAGCCAATGAAATATCTTTTATGGCGCACTCGCACCGTTTTACATTCCGGTGAAATGAAATAAAAAAATGATGTATCGAAAAGTTTTTATTTTTTCTGTTCATTTTCTTAATCGCTTTCACTCATGACAAAGTACTCGTGAGCGTCATGTAGTAGTATATTGGAGGGGGCAGGCTTATCGAGTCTCTTGATGTACCGACATCGCATTTAAATAATGAAATGATTACAAACTGCGCTCAAACCTGATTCTTTAATTAAACCCATTAGCAATAGTATATTAATGGTCAAATACCGTAATTTATTCTGTGATAGTAGTAGGTAGGTAGGTAGGTATCGCCCTTCAAATCTGAATTCGTTGCTTCAGAAACATCCACATTAGCAAAATGACTGCTTGAAAAGTAGGTAGGTACCTAACGTCATGCATTCGCTCAATAATTACTGTTTCTTGCCTGTATTTGGGGCACGATGTAGCATGAAACATTATTTCAAATGTTTCAGACCTATCGCTAGAGAAATCATTGTCGCGGTTTCACGAATATTTAAATAGGTACGCTGTATTTTTTTTTTATTGCTTAGATGGGTGGACGAGCTCACCGCCCTCCTGGTGTTAAGTACCTAGTTACCTCATCCCATAGACATCTACAATGTACATACGTCACCCACCTTGAGATATAAGTTCTATGGTCTCAGTATAGTTACAAGTTGACTATTTAAAGCAGCCCTCGGCAAATTTTTTATCTGGTAAGTGCTACATAGAGGTACATTGATAAAAACTGACCAGAACTTACACTAGAAGTTGAATAGAATCAAAATAAGTGTCTTAATTAAGATATCGAAGCCAGTAAGAAATAACGATATGTAGCTCTTAGAGTATTTTTTTATTTTTGTAAAGTGATGCACAAAGTAATGTTTATTAAATAACGATCATTCATATACAGTAAATGAATATAAAACATTTTCTGAGCTTATGCTCAGAAAATATTACCGAGATAGATTTTATAAATTATCTATATTCAATACGTAAAACTTAAATGAAAATGTAACAAAATACAACAAAAATAAAGATTTGGTAGTGTTCATTTTTTTATTAGAATAAAGATATACAAGATATATTAAATTCAGTAACTGTAGAAATACTGTCACATATGTATGAATTCTTGTAATAAACCGCCGGTGTGTCTAGAATGCCACGAGTTTCTTTTCGATTTATACATAGCAGTCGTTGTAGGCCGAGAAAGAGCTGTGCAGGTCGTGGGCTGCTAACTAATACTAAATAGCCAAAATAAAATTTAAATAGTTATTAATATGGCATCTTAAATTTCAATAAAAAATACTTTACTGATTACTGTCAAAGTGTTACTGTAATGTCAAAACATGTCAACATAATATTACATGTAAAAGAATCATATTCCTTATAGCCCGTTTAGCATGAATTCTGAATATGAATTCAAGGTTCACTACGTACCTGACAGGGTATAATCAATGACTTAACTTGTTGACGACAGTAACAAATATACCTACGTAATAGGTCCAAGATTGTCCACTTGTAACATGTAGTGGGAGTGAGATGAGATCATTCGCTTTACTTGGTCATGGCCAACTGTTATCATGTAAATTCTATATAAGGCCTTGTTGATCCTTTCAGTTTTCGAAGTAAACGGACAAAAATATTTTGTATAATGTTTTTCCTTATTTCTGATAACCGTAACAAATTGGTAGCTTTTATTATTCTCATTTTCATATAATGAATAGGTTTTCCCACATAAATTTCCAAGTAAATAAATTTATCTATTCGTCTTTTTTAACTTATAATTATGTGACAGAGCCACACAAAATTATACTAACCGAAAATAACAATGTGATTGTACGTAATGGAAAACAACATTTTCAGTCAGAAAAAGTAACAGAGTTAGAAGCATATAGGTATATAAAAGGAATAACCCAAGCTAATATCAGTCTTCAAATAATAGATCAACCGGAAATTGACTGGTCCTTTTTTTCCCTACCTATGCTAATAGCCTTGAGACGCTATTTCAGCTTCGCTCTAACATGTAGGTAAGCTCACGGGGCTCAAACCGGAGTGGTGCTAACACTGACCCTAGCAAGAGCAGTGCTTCGCAGAATCTACAACAGGATCGGAAACGCGACTCGCTGAGAAGATCCGGCGAGAAACTCAGTGGGCTGTGTCTGTTTGACGAGTCCCACGACGAGTGTTAACTAGTAAAAGTGGGCTAGAGAGATCACGTTTTTCTAGCCGAGACGCTCGATCTCAAGAAGAGACATGCAAGGTTACAGATGTGAAACGAACATAATAAACGAAATAAAAAAATAGCGGGACCCCGCTAGTTAGTTGGGACCCTAAAAAGAATAGTAATTGAAGACAATACCTAGTGTTCCGTAGAAAGGCTCTCCGCGTTACATGAGGTCTTGTCGAGAAAGCAAATTGAGCTGTCAGAATTGATATGCATTATTATTGTGTACCAAGCTTTTGTATAATGACGCCAGAAAAGAAACCTATGGCGATAGCATCACTTAACATAAGATATTTGACAGATGCTTGAATCTCGCTAACTAGATTCTCAAGATATCAATCTTCGAACAACAACATTTAGAGAGTCGATTTAGCGAGCAATTTCGCCCGCTCGGTGGAAGATCTTCCCTTTGTCGTAACTCCTAAAAACCCAAAAATGAGTAATATAATTATTTAAAATTTTCTCTTATTTTATGAATACATTTTAAAGAGCGAAGGAAGATATAAGATCAAAATCAATTTAGTTCACGAGAGAGTAGAAAGCGTTTCGCTATCTATTTCGAGACAAACGTGTGAGTCTGGGGGTCTTTGAACCGATACAGTTAAATATAACTGCAGTTTCCCCCAGCGATATAGTCTGGCTTGTTTTATTAGTTTATTTGCCTTCCTCGTTTCAAAGCGTAACAAGGAAAAATCTATCTTAAAGCGGTTGTTTGTCTTTGTGATAGTTTTTGTTTTGGTAGTTATCGGTTTTTTTGAGATAAGCGGTTACCGATGTCCAGAGGGTCTATAACGTCAGTACTATCCATGGGTCACGCCCATTTGTTTCTGAGCATCGACTGTACTACTGAATAAGATAATTTGTGGGTGATTAAATGGTAAGACAATTGTCACTCTTCAAGAATGTAAGTATCTACAGTCGGCATCGCTGCGCCACTTCGAGAAGGCGGCACGACATGAGAACCCTCTTGTCGTGGCCGCTGGAAACTACATACCCGATCCTGTAGACCGAATGGTAAGCCGCAAATCGCCCAAAGCACGTCATTACGGATCCTCCCGATCCATTAATGGTGCTTTTAGGCACCACAAGCACCAGTCGAACCGCCCTCGTCGAACCCGTCGCTTGCGACTTGGGCTCGACGAGCGAATTAACCTACAGACACAGCCCACTGAGTTTCTCGCCGGATCTGCTCCGTGGGTCGCGTTTCCGATCCGGTGGTAGATTCTGCGAAACACTGATCTTGCTAGGGTCAGTGTTAGCAACACTCCGGTTTGAGCCCCGTGAGCTCACCTACACACGATAGGGCGAAGCTGAAATAGCCTCTCAAGGCTATCAGCATGGGTAAAAAAAAACCAAAAAAAAAATTATTACCTGCTTGTTGACTGTTTTTGAATGTAAATTGTGCTTTGGTGTGCAATAAAGTGCATTCTCTCTCTCTCTTATTAAAATAAGCCGTTAGAAGTATTTTTAGAAGCATCCGTAACATAATTGCCATTTATCATCTACCTGTTATTGTTGCTACACAGTAACGTTTAAAATAAAATAGAAAACATTAAATAGGTCAAAATAAATTGTTATTTCAACAAAAACACAAGATGTTTAGTTAGATAGGTAAGTATGTCAATAACGCCATAATGAAAATGTCCCCACTCTGTTACCGTTCGCGGAGTTGTAAAAAATATTCATATTCAACAACGCTACGTCATTATTGTGCCCTATATTCTTTTTTTTTTTTTTTTGCCTTTGTAGGCAGACGGGCATACGGCCCACCTGATGGTGAGTGGTTACCGTCGCCCATGGACTTCAGCAATGCCAAGGGCAGAGCCAAGCCGCTGCCTACAAATTATATTATCTCAGGAGCTGTTTTTGGCTTCGTTTATTTTCCTTCTAACTGTTATAAACATGTCAAAACTGCAATTTGATTTCCTCTTTCAAGTAGGTATACTAAAAGAGATTTCAACAAGCAGTAATTTCAGATCAATTCCAATTCAATATTAAATAGACGAAACTATGATTTAGAGCATGACCAACACTGTACCGACCTTGGCCCCTACGTTATTTCCACCTACTACAAGTTTAAAAAGCCAGACCTTACAGTGAGAAGGCTTAATGTGGGCTGTATGTCAATTATTTCAAATCGCATTTCTTATTTCCGATAGAATATCTATATAGAAAATTAGGCGGTAAATAGCATAACATTCAAATGTCGACGCTTAGTGGTCCGTGAACACGAAAACTATAGGTATTCGAAATATCGGAAATAATGTATTATTGTTCTATGTATAAAAAAGAATGTATTTTTATTTGTATATTCACCTAAAAACTCGAGAACCATTAGCCGAATTGTTATGAAACTGCAGATACAATATCAAAATATACGACATGACCACCCGACGAACATAGTTATGTTAGTGGCGGACTCTCCGCAGGTGGCAGTGATTTTTATCTTTTGAAAAATAATTGGAATTCATATGAAATTAGCGACCCGCCCGAGGAACTTCGCTTCGGAAACTGTAATTTATTATTGATTTCTCCACTGTTTAATGGACGTTATTATACATATAAACCTTCCTCTTCAATCACTCTATCTATTAAAAAAACCGCATCAAAATCCGTTTCGTAGTTTTAAAGATTTAAGCATACATAGGGACAAAGAAAGCGACTTTGTTTTATACTATGTAGTGATAATGTCGCAGCATTGGAACACCGACTAATATGGTTGGACGTTTTTAAATTTTGAATCACAGATCCGCTTTATTTGAATCTGTGTATAACAAAAGATCAACAGAATTAAAATAATCATACTTAAAAACTATGATAGATTTTTTTAGGTGAAGCGAAGCCGCGGGAACCAGCTAGTGATAATAATAGACATGAGATTGGATTAAAGAATTTGTTTTAAAATTGAAGAACGGTAGATCACATACAGAGCGAGCATTATCGGTACCAAAGGCCTTAACCACTTACACTTGAACCGTAGATGCATACAACAGACACAAGGATAGGGTGCCAGGTTTCCACCTTGAAAAAGGGAGGGAGATTCTAAAATAAAACATACTCACACGGTCAGTTAATATATTTATTCACACGCAAATACGGATGTAATCAGATTACATCAACACAAAAATGACAACTATTTAACATTTATTTAAATAAAAAATCTGAATACAAACAGTGAAAATGGAAGTTTTATTTACATTGTGTTTAAATAGTTTCATTAATTAAGTTTCACGTTGTGATATTTTTCAAAAATAAATAAAAATAAAACATTTAATATGAAGAGGAAAGTAATGAAAACAATAAAGTACATTTTATTATTTCATTTTTCTATAAAACAAATATCATCACATCATGAAATTTACCTTAAAGCTAATGTTTATGAACAATATGGCTACCGCTATCGACTTTGAAATAAAAAATAAAAAAAATGATTTCTTAAATTAAATTCAATCGACTGTGAATCTAAATAGGCCTAAAATAAAGACGAATTCGTAAAATGTTTATTTATTTCAATAGTGTTGGTAACTTGTACATAATTGAGTGGTAAGGAATAACAGGCTGTATACAGGGTGCAAAGGGAACGGGGAATGGCTTCTACCTTAATACCTACAATTTTTATTGCTTAGGTAGTGGACGGGCTCACCGACCACTTGGTGTTAAGCGGTCATCGGAGCCCATGGACATCAATAACGTAAATTCCGCAACGTACCTTAAGACCTGAGATCTAAGTCACAGTTTTACAGTACAGTAACCTAACAATAGAAATGACTGTAATTCTCTTTGAGTTCGTATTTCGTTAAGGTGGTATCTAACGCGCAAGTAGGGTTCGCCCCTGCGTTCTTCCGAGTGAGTTGAACTTGCGCATTTGAAATTAAATGAAATAATTAGTAAATATAGGCCAATTTAGTATACCAACAAAAACATTTTTAAATATTTATTGTAGTTTTTTCAAAGCTATCAACATAATCACTGGCATGTAAAAAGTGTAGCCTCTGCCTCAAAGATATTTAATCTGTGAGATGTGGTACTTGTCTTTTTTTGGGGACTTTTTGGCGGGAACACGAGTAGTGAAGTTTTTGTGTTTTGTGATTTGTTTTATTTTGTCTATTTAGTATTTCTTCAGGTTTAAAATGTGTAATAACGGTGGTTTATTAACTGTTTAATATCTGTGAAAGTGCAAAAATGTGGGAAAATGAAACAAAGCCGCTAGACGTAACTTATCGGGTTCATCCAAAAAGTCCACTTAATAATTTTCAGTACATATTTTACCGTTTACTATTTAGTACGTATTTTACTACCATTATACCGAGATTATATTTCATCCCATCTCATCTCATCTCGTTTCATTAATATTAATTCCAATTGATTGCAGTATCAAATCATTCAACTTCATATAATTTCATCTATATCATTTTTCGCTCCATATTATTTTTCATATAACACAATATAAAAAAAAGCCTACTATACGGTTTGATACCTTCGTCTTTGAGTGAATATTTTTCGTTTTAATTATTCAAGACGTACATCTAGTGGGGCGGCAATCGAAAGAGCCGTGTTTTCAATTCTATTGCGCGCAGGTCAAGATGCAATAATATTACGTTATAGATATTTTAGTGAGATTTTTGTTTAATTTTACTACGTAAAGGGTTCCCCGTACTGGCACCAAACTTTTTTTTATTGTTTGGATAGGTGGACGAGTTCACAGCCCACCTGGTGTTAAGTGGTTACCGGAGCCTAAGATATAAAGTTCTAAGATAAGAATAAGTTAGTATAGTTATAACAGTATAGTTACAACGGCTGCTCCACCCTTCAAACCGAAACGCATTGCTGCTTCACGGCAGAAATAGGCAGCGCGGTGGTACCTACCCGTGCGGTGCAAGTGGTCCTACCACCAGTACCACTAGTCACCAGTTTTGTTAACAGTCCCTTAATCTCACACCCGACATACTGTTCAGTAATTACTTATGTCAAATTACTTGACAATATAAAATATATTTTTTAAATTCATATCATTCCGCATCTAATTTCTAATAACAGTATTAGTATAATTCTAAATTAAATTACAAAGAAAATGACACAACTTTAAAGACATTTATTAAGATTTTTGTGTTTAATTTTATTAATGAAAAAATTTACATTTTGTACAGGTTTGATTGAAAGTTCAAGTGCTGTATTTGTGTATTTTTTTAAGTTAATATATAAATATTATATTTGTTTAGAAGGTAGACTTGTGTGTGTGTTTTATTTCAAAACAACCCGCAATGCTGTAAATGTCAATTAAAACCGTGCTTCGTAAATACTGAATCAAATTATTAATTGGATATCATTAGTAATATTTGGAAATTCAAAACTAATAAATATACATGCTATTAGACTTAAATAAAAAATTCTCATTTAAAATTGTTCTGCTAAATAACATGATAGATGCGTTTCAAAAATTTAAATCTTCGGTAAACTAAGTCTTCTATGGGATAGTAAAGGTTACGTCTCACTGACGCAAGATGGCGTTGTTTACTTTTTAACCTATCTAGATAGGCAAAGGGAAAGTACTTACAGGGAACTATGAATAATTTAAAGCAATCATTTAAACCACTATTCATCGTTTAACATTAATTACTTATATTTTAATTCACTAAACGTTTTAGTCTTCGTGTGTTAGTGCAAGATCTTAAGGCTTCGTCAAACAGAGCGCATACTTAACGCGCGTCGAGATGTGTTGAATTTTATTTTAGCCTCCGAGTGAATCTGTATTAAAATACTGGATAATGCCCGAAAAATTGATAGAATTAGTTAGAAAATACCCATGCCACATCTGAAACACTCGACATCTTAATACTTTTAAATTTTCAGACTGCTATCGAAAGGCACTATGATTTGGCAGATGTTACGTCGCGTCAAGTAGCGTTGGGTTCATCTAGTCGATTTGTGTGACGTGTAAAGAGCGGGCCGTTAAAACGCGGCGCTAAGTACGCGTTCTGTTTGACGAAGCCTTTAGTTGTGGCCCGAAGTGACGTCATACGTTATATAGTTCGGCCATTTTTGGAATGAGGGCGGCTCGGCTCGTTGTGTGCGGGCCTAGGGCGGCGCCAATAATGCGGCGTAGTGCAACAGGGCAGCCCGTAGCGCGCACCCCGCGCCCCTCGCCCGCCCGCTCGCCGCCAGCCGCGCCAACCCACCATATGCGTCTGCACAACGTCACACCATAGAGTAAGATTATATCGACGCTTGAAAGGCAAACGTGTCTAAGCGACAATAACTGCTTTGTACATAAATGATAGGCAATAACAATATTTGATGCGCAAAAAAAGGGTGCGTGTACTTATGTACGCGCGTAAGAAGTTATACTTTATTTTTATTAAATTTATTCCTTTTTTTATTTAAATTTTAATCAATTTGAAAAAAAATCGATTAAACAACATCCTCAAACACGCATATTAGTCTAGTCAACAAGTTCAAAAACGTGTTAAATAGACATAAAGCTCCTAAAAATATGTACGATAGCTCATTGGATGCGGAATGATGTCTACAAAAATGCTTTTTAAGGGCTTATTAGCACTTAAAAAATTGCGATTGTTATAAACAAAATAAGATTTAAAAAAAAAGGAATTTGGTTTTTCCTTAATAATTTCTAAAATAATGATATTTAAGGAATTTTGAAACAAGATCCTGAAAGAGTAGGAAATTTCCAATAAAAAAGTCCCAACTCCCGGAATTCTATCTCTATATTTATAAAAAAAATTTAACGCTGAAAATAGCGCTCCGCGAGGTCGTTACTGCATAGGCGCGCCGTCTAAAAAGCCGGTATATCACCAAAAAGAATTTTTTATAGTATTAAATAAAAATTAAAAAATTTGAATAAATTATGGTGTAATCTAAACACTTGAACGAAAAAAACCTCGGTGAAAAAAAATTTTTATATCGATTTTTCAAAAATTTACACCATTGTTAATTAACTAGCTTTTTTCCAATCTCTGCTTTTATAAATTACGGTATAAAAGTTTCAATAATTCATCTATAAATTTTTCCCTTCGTGGAGCTCTTATCATTTAAGTACTTAATAAAGAAATGCAAAAAAAAAATTTTTATCTTCATTATTTTGATAATTATAATTTTTTTTAATTAACAAAAAATTTAATTTCTAAAAAATGTTATGAAAAATAGTTTTTTTCCGTAATATCTTAATATTGCTGTTTTTGCATCTACCATAGGTATTAATTAACATTTAAAAAAAAAATTTACGCTATTTGTTAAGAAATTGTTTATAAACAAATAGACTACTTTGGGATTTAAAAAAAAAAATTATATTGATAACTATTGTTTATCATAACAACTGATAAACAATAGCTACAGGATCGATTTTGAATTTATTTTAAAGATAAATAAATCCTTTATAAAAATGACCTGAGTGTCCTTTACCGTATCTCTTATAGTTTAAAAGTTATAACAATTTATAACTTGACAAATTATGTAACGGCTGTAATTTCATTATCATATAATATCTAAAAATGCTGTAAAAAATACAATTTTTTTTTCTATATTTTGTTATGTATGGTTGTTTTTGTAATTTTTTGTAGTTTTCGAAAAAAAATATAACGATTAATATTAATTTTTTATAACAAATTGTTAAGTTAATAAACAATGAAATTATTTATAAAAAAATGTATTTCTTTGTTAATCCGCTGAAAAGAGTCAATGATGATATTTAAGAAAAAAATAATTTCTTAACTAATTATTTAAACAATTGAAATATGAAAAAAACGATTTTAAACAATTAAAACATTTATTTAAGAATTTTTATTTTTTTTAAATTCTTATTTCACCTGTACAATAAGACGGTAAAATTTTTTTTTAAAAAACTCCCAAAATATTCTATTTGTTTATAAACAATTTCTTAACAAATAGCGTAATTTTTTTTTAAATGTTAATTAATACCTATGGTAGATGCAAAAACAGCAATATTAAGATATTACGGAAAAAAGCTATTTTTCATAACATTTTTTAGAAATTTAATTTTTTGTTAATTAAAAAAAATTATAATTATCAAAATAATAAAGATTAAATTATTTTTTTTGCATTACTTTATTAAGTACTCAAATGATAAGAGCTCCACGAAGGGAAAAATTTATAGATGAATTATTGAAACTTTTATACTGTAATTTATAAAAACAGAGATTGGAAAAAGTTAGTTAATTAACAATGGTGTAAATTTTTGAAAAATCGATATAATTTTTTTTTTCCACCGATGTTTTTTTCGTTCAAGTGTTTAGATTACACCATAATTTATTCAATTTTTTAAATTGTTATTTAATACTATAAAAAAATTATTTTAGGTGATATACCGGCTTTTTAGACGGCGCGCCTATGCCGTAACGACATCGCGGAGCGCTATTTTCAGCGTTAAAAAAAATTTATAAATAATAGAGATACAATTCCGGGAGTTGGGACTTTTTTATTGGAAATTTCCTCCTCTTTCAGGATCTTGTTTCAAAATTCCTTAAATATCATTATTTTAGAAATTATTAAGGAAAAACCAAATTCCTTTTTTAAAAATCTTATTTTGTTTATAACAATCGCAATTTTTTATGTGCTAATAAGCCCTTAAAAAGCATTTTTGTAGACATCATTCCGCATCCAATGAGCTATCGTACATATTTTTAGGAGCTTTATGTCTATTTAACACGTTTTTGAACTTGTTGACTAGACTATATTGGACATCCCTTTTCTTGACATCGTATAAATTCGGTAATTCTCGGTACGGTTCGGAAAGTTCACCTGCGGCTATATTCAGACTCGCCAAGTTACGTCGGTCGTATTGTAATGAGCGATTTAATGGGCAACTTCTGTTAATTTTGTGTCACGGTGCGCGCGCATCGTAAAATTTCACTCTCATAAATTTTTCATAACGCGCCTAAAGAAGTATAACTTCAAAAACTCTAGGTCTATTAAAATCATTTCAATCCTACAGCTAGATTCGTTAAAATAGAATTTTTGTCTATTGTCATAGACTATTATACTTCTATAGGTCACAGATTTCGCCAAGACTACACTATAGGCAAATATAAATAAAGACAAACAATATTTAATCTATTCTCAATTTGACCACAGATTATAAGCAATAAGAAAAGTTTGACAGTGTGTATGTGTAGTGTGTATCAAATACATGGTAGAGTCCAGAGCAACACGCCAGTGTGTGTTCCGATGTGTCATCCTCGTCGCGGTCTGCGCAATGGTGGCACTGCACCGTCGGTTCCCTTCCGGCTATTTTATGCAAGTACCGGCCGAAATAACATTGGTCGGTAAGCATCTGCGTAAGCCGGAAGGTCGCGGCCCACCCAGTCAGTGAGAACCGGGCGGACCGGACGGTAAGGAGGCCGGCTGACGGGTCCGCCAAACGGCGAGACCACGGACCGCCGAGATTGGAGTCTCCACGCTCTAAGTACACCTTCGTCGGGGCGCCCTTCCCCCCTAGAGCGGAGATCGCTATGCCACCTGTAGTCGGCAGCGAACGCCTCCGCCTCCAGGTCCCAGGGTGGCGCCCCGGCGAGTAAGCACGCCGCCTCGTAGGAGACGGTGCGGTATCCTCGGATGGCCACGACCCTCTGCGGACGTCGCTGGTCAGGGCCTGGCACCAAACGGGCGCGCCGTATAGTGCCATAGACCGCACCACCACCATGTATAGGCGGCGCGCTACCTGATCGGGACCCCCGACGTTTGGAAGAAGCTGACTCAAGGAGCCGGCCCTCGCCATCAGCCAAGGGCCCAATTTTACAAAGTGAGCGCGGAAGCTCCACCGACCATCCAGTTCGAGGCCGAGGTACCTGAGACCGGTCACGTCAATCCCGACGCGAGCGCCTCCGATCACGAGGTGGGACAGTACATATACCAAAATAATATTTTTTTATTTTTGTCTGACTGTCTGTTTGTTCCGGCTAATCTTTGAAACGGCTGGACCGATTTTGGCGGGACTTTCACTGATAGGTAGCTGATGATATTAGGAGTAACTTAGGTTACTTTTTTAGACTAGCTTCGCCCCGCGGCGTCACCCGTGGTACGACAACAACCGCGGGTAACATCAGCTGGTACCAAATAAAACGCACCTTTAATTACAAAGATAAATGTCGCGTGTTAAGCGAAATGTCACTTTATAATCTAAGTAATCTCATTAGTGAAGTTTCAGTACAATTACCTATTAACTTCCGCCAGGCCGCCGCGTCCACTTTCCCGGGGGGCGCTTTCTTCATGGACTCCGCCAGCGTCGCTATGGCTTTCAGTACGAACGATATCTCCGACAGTTGATGTCTGCTCGTGAAAATTAAACTACTAATTAATTTATTTAACACAACATCAGAATTTTCATTGATACCTTTGGATGTTATAATCTTATGCTTGTTTATTGTAAACCAATATGATAATGAAATGTTTCTGGCTCACTATGAGGTCTTTATGGGAAACTAAGTATCAACATTGAGGCTTGAGGTATTGAATTATCACCATCATCTCAATAATTCTTCACTTTTCACAAAAAAGTGCTCATTCTCTTATCGTCAGTTAATCATGGTAATTGAAGAATCGAACCTTGGCAGAGGCTCTGTGTCATGCTCGTCCTCTGCATACTTCATTATGATCTCTTGAAACCTATCCAGCAACGTCATTATGGCTAGCGGGTCAGAATCATCTGGAAATAAGCAATCATGTAATTAATACACACACGCACGCCAGCACGCACGCACACACGCACACACGCGTATATATAATTGTTTTCCTATTAATAAACTTTATAAAGCTTTATATAGTTTTAAGACTTTATATAACTTTAAATAAATAAAAAAAAATAGTTTAAAAAAACTACAAAAATTCACTTTTATAGAAAATCCAACTAAAAACGGAAATTAATTTTTGTAAATTTGAATTAAAAATGGTGTAAGAAAAATCATTTTATTGTAAAAAAATCGTGGGGTGCATGGTATCAATAGTTATAAATATTTTGATAATATCCTGAAAAGCACCTTTATAAAAGCATATTTTTTTGCTTTTTTAAACTGTTATTTATTTCTTATGTCAATAAAAAAACAGAAAATGTTAAACACATAATGAATAACATTTTGAGAGACTTGAAATGTCAGCAATTATGGTAGAATATCGGATATCAAGCGGTGAAATGATTGGTTTAAGTGAAATTTTTGCAACATTACAGGAGAGCTAGTTAATGTTTAAAATTTTGAAAACATATAACACAAAAACTTGTTCAACTATTTCAATGGAGTAAACTTAATTGAAGTTCAATTAAAAACATCGAACTGTTGATGCCTATTAGGCATGATGACAGTAGTCAAGTATCTCACAAATTAACTTGATTTATTAAACAAGCATCTAATGTTTATTATTTACGTATAGTCCTCGGCACGTAACTTGGCAAGAATCGTCAGATGCGCAAAAGTCGTTTTTTAGGTCTCTTTGGTTATCAAGCGGGACGCGGGGAAAGACGTAGCACCGTTCCGAGCGCGCGATTTAATAAAATTAAATTAAATTATATGCGGGCAATAAAAGTGACCATTTTTTTTGTTGCAATGTACACTATGCGCGACATTACCCCCACTACACCAAAACCTTGCCAACTTACGTGCCGCTTACTATACTGAAGTTTACTGAGCCGTGACGTAATTACCGACGCCATGACACTGAACAGCGTTTTAGCGCGAAATAAAAACTTTAAATTTAAATATCATTTTATTGCACGAAAACCTTTATTTTCTACCGAAATATGATATATTTTTGATATAATAGATACTTCTGAATATCATAGAATAGATTTTGAAAATTATTCATCATGCCTATTAAAACGCACCTTTCATTACAAAGATAAATGTCGCTTATTAGCGAAATATCGCTTGAACCAAATAGCGTTTCACTCGTCGATATATAGATATTGTTATTAGTGTAATAACATCATTAACATCGGATCTATTGAAGTGGTATTAAGTTGTCCGTAGGACATGATTAACTTAGGCCCGTACACCTTGAGACATGAGGTCGATATTTGAGGCAGAAACATCAATCAATATTTTCTCTTAATCCTAATAATAAAAAAGTATTGATTCGGGCATGGTTTATTTGTTTGCTTTTGACGTGCGATTAGTAGTAGTAAGATCTCAGTTTTTACAGTACAACGGCTGCCCCACCCTTCAAACTGAAAAGTATTAGTCCTTGCGGCAGAAATAGGCAGGGCGCTGGTACCTACCCGTGCGAACTCACAAGAGGTCCTACCATCAGTAATTACGCAAATTATAATTTTGCGGTTTTGATTTTTATTACACGATGTTATTCCTTCAGCGTGGAAGTCAATCGTGAACATATTTTGTTAAGTACGTGTTTCATTAAAAAAAATACCCGCCAGCGGGATTCGAACACCGGTGCATCGCTACATACGAATGTACCGGACGTCTTATCCTTTAGGCTACGACGACTATAAAATTTCATTGAAATTGTATAAAATTAAAGCATACGAATACTCACTGTCATCCCCGGAAATGGAGTCGACGTTCTCCACCATAGAGAACTGCAGTAGCGTCTCGAAGCACGTCCGGGCGAATTCTTCCCTCTCTTTCAGTTCTTGGTCGGTCTCTGTCGCACATAAAACTTGTTTTAAAATTAATTTTGTTTAACAAATAGCACACAGTATATATTATGTTTGTGTGGGTTGGAGCAGTGAAACTTCTTTGAGCTCACTCAGAAGATAGAAGACTCACGCTTTATGTCAGTAGAGAAGTTTCACTTCTATTAGGTATACAGAGTGCGCTCTCATTTTTATCAACACCAATGAAGAGAAGTCATTCTATATTAGAATCTATGTACGTATTTTTGCTGACAGCTTCCTAAAGGTGCCACCTTAACTCTGCTTTAAATAACGGGGTTATGCACTTCAATCTGGTGAAATAAGCCATACCGAAAACACAGATATTCGGGAAACTTCTGCGATTCCCAATTGTGTCACAGAAGATTCCGTAACCCCTATAAAGTTTGAGAACTTATGATGATTTTTTTATTGCCACTGTAAATAGATGAGGGTACGACCCATCTGATGGTGTGTTGTCAATGTAGCTCATGGGCTACTGAAAATTACGGCCAATACTGACAATTTAAATCAATTAAACTATTACCCTAATGATTTGATGTGGTGTATTCCAAGAGGAAAACTGACGTAATAAGTAAATGACTTGTTGAATGTCAATACAGTATATTAACTTAGCATCGGTTGCAAGTTTACGGCCGATTAACAGAGTCTGGATGGTGGATCATGAGATGCATCTTAAAAAGTATTTATTATTATCACAATTAAAGAAGTAATATGCGTTCCTACCACAGTCCCTATCTTTATTGAACTCGGTACAGTTATGATTGGCACTGCAGGGGGAGGTTTTGGTATAGTACCATCAGCATACGACGTGGTGCGTTAGTTCTTTTAACGAATCGACGGTCTTAGACGGTTTTATTTGTCGTTTTATTTTGTCGTCGTCGTGGCCTAAAGGATAAGACGTCCGGTGCATTCGTATCTAGCGATGCACCGATGTTCGAATCCCGCAAGCGGGTACCAATTTTTCTAATGAAATACGTACTTAACAATTGTTCACGATTGACTTCCACGGTGAAGGAATAACATCGTGTAATAAAAATCAAACCCGCAAAATTATAATTTGCGTAATTACTGGTGGTAGGACCTCTTGTGAGTCCGCACGGGTAGGTACCACCACCCTGCCTATTTCTGCCGTGAAGCAGTAATGCGTTTCGGTTTGAAGGGTGGGGCAGCCGTTGTAACTATACTTGAGACCTTAGAACTTATATCTCAAGGTGGGTGGCGCATTTACGTTGTAGATGTCTATGGGCTCCAGTAACCACTTAATATTAGGTGGGCTGTGAGCTCGTCCACGCATCTAAGCAATAAATAAAAAAAAATAAAAAAATTGAGAGGACGGGCTCTGGAGGTGAGGGGCTATTTTAAAACACTTTCTTCATGGTTAATACATATTACAAACACTATTACATGTTTACAATATTTTTATGTTTATATAAGCCTAGGATGTTTAACTGACCGTGTTTAGATCAGAAGTAAGTTGCCATAACGGAAGACAATCATCTGCTATAACATTCAAATAAACATTTCGATATTCGAAAACTGTGTCGCCTGCCATTACACATTCAAACTCCAACAGTGACCGGTTTTCATTGTTAGGTAATATTGGTGTGCATATTGTGCGGTCGGAGTGCATATTGTGCGGTCGGAGTGCATATTGTGCGGTCGAGGTGCGTATTGTGCGGTCGAGGCGCATATTGTGCGGTCGGAGTGCATATTGTGTGTGTCCGGGTGCATACGTACGCGTGCGGTCCGGCGGCGCGTGGTGCAGCGCGGCGGCCCGCACCAGCGCCAGCAGGCGGCCCAGCGCCGCGCCCGGCACGCGCCCCGCCAGCGCCGCGCCGCGCACGCACGCCACGAGCGCGCCCGCACCCGCGCCCATCCCCGTACTCGAATGTAATTAAATAATTCGACTTGAACATCATCATTACTTGTGCCACTCCTTTCTTTATTTTATTGAAGCGAAACTTCAAATTGTTTTTTTCTCTCCTAAGTATGCTGATAGCCTTGAGAGGCTACTTCAGCTTCTTCTTGACGTGTAGGTGAGCTCACGGGGCTCTAACCGTAGGTGTTGCTAACACTGGCCCTAGTAAGAGCAGTGCTTCGCAGAATTTATCACCGGAAACGCAACCCGCTGGGAAGATCCGGCGAGAAACTCAGTGAGCTGTGTCTTGGGTTAATTTATTATTTAATAACGACGACCGGTGCTTTTGGTACCTAAAAGCATCGTTAGTGGATCGGGAGGATCCGAAATGACGTTTACGATTAAGGCGATGTGTGTGTAATACTCACGGTGGCTCAAACAGGAACGTCTCAAGCACTCCGGGAAGCGTCTCCCAGAACTCTTTGTAGTCGTCTGGCTTTTCTCTCGCTAGAGGTAGACCGGTTTCCAATACCTTGTTGTGGCGTACAAATATCTATATATTAATACGTGAAGCAAAAACTTTGTACCCCTTTTTACGAAAATTGCGCGGACGGAGGAATATAAAATTTCCCACACTTATAGAAAACTAGCGGCCCGCTTTTTCAAATCGGTTCAGTAGTTTCGGAGCCTATTCAATACAAACAAACAAATCTTTTCTCTTTATAATATTAGTATAGAAGTATAACTATAGAGAAGGAGTGCAGAATGCAAATCTTTAATTATGCATAAAAAATACATTAAATCAATAAAAAAATATTATACACACTACCATGTATTTGACACCCACCCACGTATACCTACTCTTTAGTTTATTGTTAAAGTCTGTGTTCAAATTGAAAATATATTAATATTATTGGTCTATAGCTTGTTCTTGGCGAAATTTGTGATTATAGAAGTACAATAGACTTTGACAATAGAACCATAATAATGTTCAAACTTATAATTTCAATAAATTATAGTCGAATTTCGACTACCCCCCCTAAAATAGGTCCCCCTCTATTTTAATTTAGTGTCATAGTTCGTATTTTACTACCTGTTTTATTCGCGGTACATTACCTGTAGTAATAGAGCCGCTATTTGCGACGCCTCGTCCACTTGTTCCGAGGGTCTGCGACGTTTCTCCTGCCCGCACTTCTTGACCGCCGAGTGCAGAGCCTGCTCGTAGAGAATTACTGGTGGTAGGACCTCTTGTGAGCTCACACGAGTAGGTACCACCACCCTGCCTATTTCTGCCGTGAAGCGGTAATGCGTTCCGGTTTGGGGCAGCCGTTGTAACTATACTGAGATCTTAGGACTCATATCTCAAGGCATTTACGTTGTAGATGTCTATGGGCTCCGGTAACCATTTCACACCAGTAGGGGTGTGAGCTCGTCCATCCATCTATGCAATAAATAAATAAAAGATCTGGTATGATGTAGCAATAACTAAATGTATGTACACACTTTTCTGTTAAACTCAACGACTGCAGGCCCGGTGCTATTTTGGGAGTGGATATGAATCGGGCATGGAAGTCTTCTTTGTATAGTGCAAGAAGCGTTTCAACCTTCAAACCGAAAGAAACGACTGTTTCGCGACAGATATTGGCAGGACGGCGGTACCTACCCGCGCGGGTTCGTTGGTCCCACGTTTTTTTTAATTTTTATTGCTTAGATGGGTGGACGAGCTCACAGCCCACCTGGTGTTAAGTGGTTACTGGGACCCATAGACATCTACAACGTAAATGCGCCACCCATCTTGAGATATAAGTTCTAAGGTCTCAGTATAGTTACATATTGCTACAATAATAACGTTCCCTAAAGATCTGATGACGTACCTTTTTTCTTTTTTTTTTACCTAAGCTGATGGTCTTGAGGGGCCATTTCAGCGTAACCCTAACAAATAGGTGAGTCAAACCTGACACGTTGCTAACTAGAGTTGCCAAACGTCTCGTATTTTAGGCTTGGTTTAATATGTCCCGGCTGGACTGACTCTAACCATATTCGAACGGCACGATTATAATTATATTGATTAAAACTGACTTACTCCTCGAAGAAATATAAAAAAAAAATGTCACGATATAATTTTGTTTTTTATTTAGCCCTGAGTAAAAAAATAAATTTCCTTTTTTTTTTGCCCATTTAAGCATTTGCCCTGAAAAAAATTCTGGCAACCCTATTGCTAACACTAACCCTAGCAAGAGCAGTGCTTCGTAGAATTTACCACTGGATCGGAATCGCGACCTGCTCAGAAGATCCAGCTAGAAACTCAGTGGGCTGTGTCTGTGGTTTTATTTACTCGCTTGCGACGGGTTCGACGAGAACGATGACCGGTGCTTCGGGTACCTAAAAGCACTGATAGTGGATCGGGAGGACACGAAATCACGTGTTTTTGGCGACGTCGACTGTTTACCAATCGATCCGCAGGATGACGTACCAGTGAAGGGATAAAAACTTCAAAGAAATAAATAATAGTTTAAAAATTTTACAAAATACGCTTTTATAGAAAATCCAACTAAAAAATAGAACATAAATTTTAATAAATTTGTATTAAAAATAGTGTAAGAAAAAATGATTTTATTTAATTTTTTTAATATTGAATTGTCATCGGTCCTTTATAAGTATACCAAATTTCGAGTTAATCCGACGTATTGAAGGGGGTCAAAATTATGTTCAAAGATTCCGTTACATACTAACATACATACGTCTGAATCTAATAAAAGCGTATTAAAATGTGTATTAGTTTGTATGTAGGGGGTGAGGAAACTACAGGCAGGTACCTTACTATCAGATGACTGTAAGCGAAGATGTTACCTGCAAGAGATGCGGCAGCACGGGGGCGCTGGGCTGCGGCGCGGCCCGGTACAGCGCCACGGCGGCGGACAGGCAGCGCGCGCCCGCACCCGCGCCCGCGCCCGCCAGCGACGTCAGCGCCACGAACATCGCGCCCAGCAGCTCGTGCCGGACCAGCGCCTCCTGAGGACACGCCCATTACGGACAGTCAGAATGTCGTAAACGTCAATTATAAAATATTATCTAAGTAACCTGTACAAGTAATCTAGAGGTCTTTGTGTGGCGGTAGCCATCATACAACGTAAGATGTTTGACGACATTTTCAAGATAAACTCGCATATATACAAGTTCCGGACAACAACATTAGGGCCGTCGGTCTACCAAGCAAATATCACCCGCTCGGTGGAAGATCTTCCCTTTGTCCTTCCCAAACTGGTGACCCCGACGTAATATGAACACGCAACCTTCTAATCAAAATCTGACCAAACTTTGCCTTTCATTAAGAGAGGGTACTTGCTAAGAAAACTATATTTAAAAAAGAAACATTTATTTAACTGTATCTGTTTTTTTTATTGCTTAGATGGGTGAACGAGCTCCCAGCCCACCTGGTGTTGAATGGTTACTGGAGCCCATACACATCTACAACGTAAATGCGCCACCCACCTTGAGATGTAAGTTCTAAGGTCTCAGTATAGTTACAACGGCTGCTCCACCCTTCAAACGGAAACGCATTACTGCTTTACGGCAGAAATAGGCAGGGTGCTGGTACCTACCCGCGCAGACTCACAAGAGGTCCTACCACCAGTAAAATATATATACTACATGATCGATGAGTATGGAAAGAGAAATCATTTTTGCCCGACCCCAGGTGACTGGGAGGGGAGTAGGAGAATAATGCTCTGAACTCAATGACGTGACGTGACGCTATGAACCTTGTGCACGGTGTCGAGGCAGTGCAGGGCGTGCAGGCTGACGGCGAGCCCGGCGGACCCGTCCAGGGCGGAGGCCGAGGCGGAGGGCTCGATGCGGCACACGTGCGCCAGGCACGCGCCCAGCCGCTCCACGTCCGCCGCCGTGAACCTGCCGACCAGCCACACAGCAACGTTCCACGTTGTCATACAGAAGCGCGAACTAATGTTACTGCCCATCATACATGAAGATGGGGCTAAGAGTTAGGAATTGTCACACATATAGACACATAGACGAGGATGTGTCGTATGTTCTGATGATCCGATTTTTTTTTCCTACCTATGCTGGACTGGCCACTCAAACCGGAGTGTTGCTAACACTGGCCCTAGCAAGAGCAGTGCTTTGCAGAATCTACCACCGGATCGGAAACGCGACCCACTGAGAAGATCCGGCGAGAAACTCAGTGGGCTGTGTCTATGGGTTAATTCGCTCGTCGAGCCCTTCGTCGCAAGCGACGGGTTCGACGAGTTCGGTGACCAGTGCTCGTGGTGCCTAAAAGCACCGTTAATGGATCGGGAGGATCCGTAATGACGTGCTTAAGGCGACGTCGACTGTTTACTATTCGGTCTACAGGATCGGGTATGTGATCTGAACAAGGTAATTATGGTCTTTTAAACCTTTAAACGTTTTCAAGTTTTTTTTTCCTGCCAAATATAGTTTGTTTAAAACCTTTAGAGACGTTGTTATGTGAAATCTGATGAAACGAAAAGGCGACACTAAAAAGAGACAAACATAGTCTGTAAGATAACAAAATTGAAGTACTTGTGAAGTTTTCATTCCTAAATCATGTGAACATACGTGCACGATATTTAAGTATTACAAGATGGCTGGACGAGTTCATTGTCCGTAAACCAGCACCCAACATCACGAGATTCAAGTACCACTTGTATACTACAACGGCCGTTCCTCTCTTCAGACCAGAAAGCATGGGTGCAGCAGAAAGGGTCGTGTGAGACATAGGTCAGGAGGCAGTGACTTGACACTGTCCCTGGCATTACTGAAGTCCATGGGCGACGGTAACCACTCCCCACATCAGGCGGGCCGTATGCTCGTCTGCCTACAAGGGCGATAGAAAAAAAAATCCACATGATGTCCACTCACGTGGGCCGTATGTGCTGGAATATGAGCGGGAATATCTGCACGAGGGTCGTGAGGAAGCTCTGGGAGGGCGCGTACTCCTCGCCTGGCTTGCCGTCTTCCGTCACTGTAATTATAATTAAGACAATTTGATTTTTTTAAGAGACTACTTATTCTTTACGGGTACTAATACTAATAGGGACCAGTTGAAAGATTCAGCGGACAGACAGTAGTAGTCCTAGGGTACCCCGCTGGTATATCGGTCCCTCACAAGTTGCCTCCTCTTCACCCTGTCCAGCAGATGATATGGATTAAAGGTCGCGGTGAACTCTACGACTAGCTTGCTGAAATGAAATGTAAATTCTGAAATCTTATACTAACTATCCGCTCTTGCTATGGCTGATGTTAGTTAGCAAGTCCTCTCAGGTTGAGTCCGTGAGGAAATAAAAAAAAAGCACAATATCTATATGATTTTAAATAGGGTTAACCCTTTGATTGCCGTGTAGGTCACCGGTGCCCTACGCGGCGCACTGAAGTAATTATGTGGATTTTGCAATTTTGTGTTTGTTTTAGTCTTCGAAATAGATTCATTCTCGGTACCTTCGGACTCGTCTTTTCCAGTCTACTAGATATTCCGGGGCCTTAGTAACAGAAATCCACAAAATTACTTCAGTGCGCCGCGTAGGGCACCGGTACTCCGGTTAGAACTCATATCTCAAGGTGGGTGGCGGCATTTACATTGTAGATGTCTATGGGCTCCGGTAACCTCTTAACACCAGGTAGGCTGTGAGCTCGTTCCTCCATCTAGCCAATTAAAAAACAAGGTTTTGTTCGTTATTACTTAGTTTAATATAGTTATTTTAGATTGAAATATTTTCTCATTCACATGAGTTTAACCAATCACCACCTAACACCAAGTGGGCTGTGAGCTGCTTCATAGGGGGGAGGGGGGTCGGCTCACCCGGGGGCTCGCGGTGTCGGTCCGGCAGCGCCGCGGCGATGTCGGTCCAGGCGGCCCACGCGGCGTCCCACACGCGGCGCGGCAGCCCCCCCGCGCGCCCCGCCGCCGACACCACCTCCTGGAACGACTTCAGCGCCGCCACCGACACCTGCTCGGGGAATGTCGATGTTTTTAAATTGACAATTGAAAGCTATACTAATATATAAATCTACAATGGTTTTTACGGATGTTCCGTTATAACTATCGAACCATGCATCCGATTGACTTGAAACTTGGTATCCATGTAGAAAATACATGTACTTAATGGATAGGCTATTATTTATATGAGTGTTGGACTCCCTACACCAGTTGCGGGGGCGTTAATGATGAGAATCTTTGTGGGGGTGAGAAATAATAATGTTAATTTTAAATGCCCAGCAAAGCGGACGGGTACAGCTAGTGTTACCCAAAATTTATCTTGTTTTTCTTTCGGATGTACAGACGAGCTAATTTCCGTTCACTGTGGGATAATCAGCACAATAACACTTGAAAACCTTCGCTGTCGTTGTTCGTCGCTGTTCGTTGAGACGAAACCCTAGCTCTACTTGTATAGTAGATAGAACGTTTGCCCCACCCTATAATTCGGAACGTGTGCATCAGATACAGGCAGGTTGGTAGTTGTCGATCACATTACTCTGGTGTATGGAATGCCTTAGCCGCTCACGACACCCACGAGAGACTTTTTGTGAGTATGAGTGAAGTTGTGTGATTTGTTTTATTTTGTGTATTTAGTGTTTCTTCAGGTTTAAATGTGTAATAACGGTGGTTTATTAACTGTTTAATATCTGTGAAAGTGCACAAATGTGAGAAAACTGAAACAAAGCCGCTGGAACTTCTTAGGATCCTTCAAAAAGTCAACTGAAAAAGTCGCAGTAAATGACCACCATTTTACTGATCCCATATCATTTCATTTCATTTCATGCCATGTTTCATAATAATCAACTTCATTTCATTTCGTAATATCATTTTTTATAAAAAAAAAGTTATCATTAAAATTAAAATAAGACTTGACCTAAAGGTCTTAGTTACCAGGTCATGAAATCCCTTAAAAAAAAAGACACCTACGAGAAGAGACAGAATGTTTCCGTTCAAGGTCAACACCGCTAATTAATTGAAATAGCAATTTCTTCAAAGGAACTTCCAGTCTCACCTCGTGACTCTTCTGTAGGGCAAAGTCGGTTATGTAGCCCAGCAGGATCGCCCAGGACCTGTTGAAGTCTCCCACCGTCGTCAGGAGTTGGAAGCGGGAGTGGAAGACTCTCGACACCCCCGATAACGTGAGCACCTGGCGGCATGAGCAAAGGTGATTAAAATTTAATTGTAAAGAACAAGAGAAACAGTGCAAAACTATAAATCTATATATATATAAATTAATTGCTGTTCGTTAGTCTCGCTAAAACTCTAGAACGGCTCGACCGATTTGGCTAATTTTGGTCTTGAATTATTTGTGGAAGCCCAGAGAAGGTTTAAACGGTAGATAAATATGAAAATGATCGGAATTAAATAAAAATAACAATTTTGTTATTCCTTTGTTGAATCCCCCATCGCACGGATTCCTTTCGTTTGCTTTAGGTTTATTTTATACTAAAGTTTAGGTCTTTTATTTATCGATTGAGACACTACGAAATCTGCCGGGTCAGCTAGTCATATAATTATAATAAAAATAATGCATTCGTTAGTGGGTTTATTGGAGAATTAAAAATTGATTCATCTATTCCCTGTAGTTACAAAACCCGTTGCGGACGCGTTCTTTCAGCGGCCATTTCGTAATTGTCATTGACTATGATTTTGATTTTTGGAACTGTCAGCATATATGCTATTAGTTAGAACTTGTCTCAGACCCCAGCAACCCCCGGCCCGGCTCCCCGGGGGACTCACCTGGGTCTCAGCCCACTGTTTCTGCGCCGTGTTCCTCGTGTGATGTATGAGGATGTGCTCCCCGGTGTCCACCTTCTCGCAGCTCGCAATGTTCGATTGTTTCTGGACCTTTAGTAAAATTTATACTTTGTGATTTTACAATATAACAACCTTAATGTCAGTTTCTTTTTATTTTTTTATTGCCCTAGCAGGCAGACGAGCGTACGACTCACCTGATGGTGAGTGGTTACCGTCGCCCATGGACTTCAGCAATGCCAGGGGCAGAGCCAAGCCGCTGCTTATCATTAAGTACTCTCCGCAAGCCTCGTTAGAAGAAGGACATGTCATAGCGCTCGGGAAACAACGTGGAGGAGAGCTCATTCTAAAGCCGGATGGTGCGTGGCAAAAGAGATCTCTGGAGATGCACTGTGGATGAACGCAGTGGCTCCAGGTAGTCCTTCTCTCTCCTAAATTATCGTATTATACCGAACATGGTCTACTTTGGGTATTGGGTTCAAAACATTGGTACATTAACAGCGTCCTGAAGGCATTAACAGACCATTATGACTGTGGGGTACTTGAACCATTATACTTTCACTTGCAGACTAATAATAATAATGGTTGGTTCGAAGTAAGTATCAGTTGAATGAAATATTTGAAATGTATTCAACTGATAATTATCTTTATCTATATATATAAAAATGAATTGCTGTTCGTTAGTCTCGGTAAAACTCGAGAATGACTGGACCGATTTCGCTAATTTTGGTCTTGAATTATTTGTGGAAGTCCAGAGAAGGTTTAAAAGGTAGATAAATATGAAAATACTCGGAATTAAATAAAAATAAATATTTTGTTTTTCCTTTGATGTGTCCCGCGTCGGACCGATTCCATTTGTTTGTTTTAAGTTTATTTTATACAAAAGTTTAGGTCTTTTATTTATCGATTGAGGTACTATGAAGTCTGCCGGGTCAGCTAGTTTTTAATAAATGTATCTTTTTTATTTGATTGGTTTGTTAATTTTATGTATGTTTCAATGATACTATGTACACATATAGAATTGTTTTTGTCTGAAATAAAATAAAATAAATCATTCATTCATTCGTTCATTCATTCATTTGTTCATTCATTCATTCATATCGGTCTGAAGTGTGGGATAGCTCGGGTATTATTGCAGGTGTACTAGTTAGTGACAGGGTGTGGTGGTCCCGGCGGCGGCCCACCTGCTCGAGCATGGGGAAGAGCACGGCGAGCAGGGCGCGCCAGGCGGGCTTGCCCAGCAGCGCCCCGTGCGCGCCGATGCAGCTGAACAGCGTCTGGCTGGCGGCGCGCCGGACCGGGGCGCGGGGCTCCGTGCACAGCTCGCCTGGTCGCGGGAATGACAAAATAATGTTACGCACTGGGGTTTCATTCGAGTGTTTGTCTGTGCGCCTGTACAACAAAATCCCACAAGATATTCAGAACCTACATATACATAGGTTTAAGAAAACTATTAAAGAACATCTGTGCAATAAAGCTTACTATAAAGTCAATGATTATTTAGAAGATTGCACAAAGTGGAAATGAGTTGCTGGCTCCGGGCATTTCAATATTGTAATGATTGTTATGTTATAATACTCATGTAAAAATGAATATTTAAAAAAAATCTAATATTAAAAAAATAATCTAATATTAAAAATAAAAAAAGACATGCCCACTGAGTTTCTTGCCAATTCTTCTCAGGACGGAGGCTAGTTCTTTTGACGTTCAACAAGTATGTACTTTCATTTATGTTGAATAGAATTTTTTTGATTTGATTTGATTTGAATGCGTTCCACCTGAAGGTGAGCGGTTACCGTCGCCCATGAACGTCAGCAACATCAGGGGCAGAGCCAGGCCGCTGCCTACCGTTACTCTCCACAAGCCTCGTTTGGAGATGGCAGGTAGTCTGGTATGACTCACTAAGTCTGATGTAGAGGCACATCCAGAGGCGGTCGAGCGGCGGCAGCTCGTCGTGCTGCGGCGCCTCGGGACACGCGGCCGCGTCGCCCGCCAGCGCCGCCACCAGCTTGTCGCGGTTGTGGTATAGGTAGTCCGATATGTTCCACTAGAATTGGCAATACGTTTGTATTTATTTATTGCATAGATAGGTAGACGAGCTCACAGCCTACCTGATGTTAAGTGGTTAACGGAGTCCATAGTCATCTAACGTAAATACGCCACCCACTTTGAGATATAAGTGCTTGAGGGTTTGATTAATATTACACGATGTTATTCCTTCACCGTGGAAGTCAATCGTAAACATTTGTTGAGTACGTATTTCATTAGAAAAATTGGTACCCGCCAGCGGGATTCGAACACCGATGGCCACGACGACTTATATAAAAATATACTGAACATATTTTGTTTAGAAACTTAAAAACATTTGACACATTATATTTGTTTTTAATTGTTTTGTCATCGGTCATCACTGTGTGCGCTCAAATTAAATCCGATATCTTGAATTTGACAAAAATTACGTCAAAAAATTCAACACCCAAACATATCGAGCTAATAAGGGCGTGTTGTCTATTACAAAAAAATTACCATGTGTTTTTGTTTCTTTTTTTTTACATCGAAGACATTTGACACTGACAATATGATATGCCAAGACAGTAGAAGTGGGGGGAGGAGTTGGGGGGCAACGAGTCAGTTCCGCGGGGCGAGCTCACCATGAGTCCCACGGCGGTGAGGCTGATGTTGAGCTCCTTGGTCTGCAGCGCGAAGGCGGCGGCCGTGTTGAGCACGCGGCGCAGGCAGCGCGGGCCGGCGCAGCCCAGCAGGTCGCCGGCCACCACCTGCGCGCACTGGAACGCCGACCTGATTAGCTGCTCGCTGTGGGACGTGGGCGGCATTAGTTGCGAGCTGAGGGTAGGGGCCGCTAACAGTATCAACATATTTAACTTTTTATTTATTGCATAGATGGGTGGACGAGCTCACAGCCAACTTGGTGTTAAATGGTTACTGGAGCCCATAGGCATGTACAACGTAAATGCGTCACCCAGCTTGAGATATAAATTCTAAGGACTCAGTATAGAACGGCTGCCCCACCCTTCAAATCGAAATGCATTACTGCTTCACGGCAGAAATAGGCGGGGTGGTGGTACCTACCCGCGCAGACTCACAAGAGGTCATACCACCAGTAATAAAATAGGATAGGATATGGATAGCTTAATGAATAGGCTAATATTTATATGAGTGTTGGACTCCCTACACCAGTTGCGGGGGCGTTAATGATGAGAATCTTTGTGGGGGTGAGAAATATTAATGTTAATTTTAAATTCCCAGCGAAGCGGACGAGTACAGCTAGAAGTTTATAAATATATAGTGTGATTTACTTAAAATATAACAATAAATGTTAAGTAAGTAGGAAAAAATCTGTCATCTGTGGGCTATTCTGGCGTGCGCCGCAAAAACCGTTGGAGTTAAACACGTATATAATGTATAATGGAAATGTTTGTCTTCAATATTACTACAAAAAAACTCGTGACAGCATATATCTCATTTATTTGTAAGTAATTATCGCCAAAATAGTGAACCATTAATATAAGAAAAGGAAAGAATTGAATTTTTGTTTGTTACGTTGTTTTTTTTATTGTTTACTAGCTGAGTTCCGCGATGCTACTCGCGGTTATTGTCGTACCGCAGTTGACGCCGCGTGGCTAAGCTAGTTTTCTAGAAGTGTGGGAAATTTCTTACGCCTCCGTCCGCGTGATTTTCATAAAAAGGAGTACAAAGTTATCGCTTCACGTATTAATATATAGATATAATCTAAATAAATCAATGTGATAATTGTTGCGAGGGTGTCAGCGTCGAGTGCCGCGTTACCTGTGGTGCTCGGAGATGGCGGAGATGACTTGCATCATGAGCGGCCAGGCGGCGCCCAGCTGGTCCCCGCGCGAGTGCAGCAGCCGCGCCGCGCACTCCAGCTGGCGGGCGCGCACGTCCGCGTGCCGCACCGAGCACAGCTCCGCCAGCGGCTCCAGCAGCAGCCGGGACCGGGCCTGACACAAGCCCCGCTCTGAGCTGACGTCCACCACTAAGCCCAGCTTTGGGACTCACAATGTGGGACGTTGCAAGCCGCACACATAATGTATCTACGTTCTTAACAAAGCAGTAGCTCATTTATTCGCCAGTATAGCCAAAGTACGGCCACATATAAAAAAATATATAAATTTCATTGCACCTACCACTATTCACTCTGCACTACGTTTGGTTGACTGGTAGAGAATGCCTTAGGCATTAAGTCCGCCAATGCAAATTTTACATGAAGTGTAATAAATAAATAAATATGCCGTCGCACTGACAATCGGTGGGGCACAAAAGTACTGGAGTGGAGACCTCGTAGTGGCCGTCGTAACATGGGCAGACAGCCAACGAGGTGGACCGATGACCTGGTTAAAGTAGTCGGTAGAGACTGGATGAGAAAGGCAAGAGACCGAAAAGAATGGGGTGCACTCGAAGAGACCTACACTCAGCATTGGGTGGACACGGGTGTAAGAAGAGAAAGCCAAAGCGAACTAACAAAACCTTCACTCACATCAGTTACATGAACGGGATTATTATGGTGGTACTGGAATGCTGCTTGAACTAGATACGTGATGGCCTCCACTCCCCACTCCCGCATCCTGATGTGCGGGTGCTGACACACCTCCAACAAGTGGTTGGTGATGGGCCTCCACATCACCTCTATCCGGTGCATGTTCGCCAGACCTGTTTCTAGAAGTTTTGCCACGGCGAACAGCGATGGCTCCTGCAAAGGGTGAGATTTGCATTAGATAACATCTCGTTAGGGGAAAAATTTCTTTATGGAAATGAAAGTTGGCATGTGTTATCGCCCGTGTATGGCAGACGAGCATACAGCCCACCTGATGGTGAGTGGTTACCATCGCCCATGGACTTCAGCAATGCCAAGGGCAGAGCCAAGCCGCTTCCTACGAATGCAATGACGAATCTTGATAAAGCCAGTTTGATGGAACGATAGGATCAACTACAGAGACTTTGCTTTCTTTTATTTATTTGCTTAGACGAGTTTCAATTCTGCTTGGCCTGGGCTTGGCGAATGATGCATCTCTCTCTGTGTTCGAAGCCCATAGACAGGATCCAACATCACTTTCTTTGATAAAATACACACTTATAACTCAAAGTGGGTGGCGTATTTATGTTGTAGATGTCTATGGGTACTATCTAGTAACCACTTAACATCAGGTGGGCTGTGAGTTCGTCCACCCATCTAAGCAATAAAAAAAAAAGTCACACAACGTAGGCTATTGAGAAAGTCAGCTAGCTACTGAGTTACCCGGTTTGAATAAGCCAGTTCCATGGCCTCGTTGGAGAGCTTGCACAGCGCGTCGATTAGGTGGTGCAGAGCCACGTCGTCCAAGTCCTTGGAAGACTCGAACACCCGGGATAGCATTGCTGACAGAGCTGTTATAAGACACCGGTATGAAACTCCCGGGACTACACTATATGTACATGCAATCAACAAGGACTATCTTCCATTTACAATTCACGATAGTTTTTCATTCTTTCCATTTATACGTTATAAAGTGTATCTTTTTTATAGGCGATATTTGTCAACCGTTTAAATTTGTCTGATAAGTAATAACCATTTCATATTTTGTTTTGTTGAGGTAATTCGAAAATAAAAACTTAATAATCTTCAACTTTTACAATAATATTGTTGGAATCACTAAAACTTTTTAAAGATCTTAACAAACAAAAAAAAGTCCATTGACGAAAAGAGAATTGAGACTGGTACTCGACTGAAATATCTTTGACTAATTTCACATTAAAAGATTAGCAAAATTAATTCTAAATTTAAAATAGGGATGGTTTAACTGTCAAAAAATTGATAAAAGTAAAAAAGAAAGCGAGTTCACATGCACCGATTTCAAACGCCACGTGTCAAAATGACATTTAAAGGACAACTCTAGAACACAACAAACAAAGCAACAACACAATAGTGCTGAGCGCCTGTGGGATAAAAAAAAAAGACAGAACAATGACGTCACAAGAGTGTAAACATATTTTATAGTGCAATCAATGTACATAAGGCATAGAATCGCCAGCAAGCTCCAACCCAGTGCCTCGTGAATGACACAAGCTTAAATCATAACTTCCTTTAAACATTATGTATCTATTTGGAATTACTTCATTAATTAGAACCACTTTTTCTTAATTGTAATGATAGCTGCAGATCTGTTAAAATTTTAACGTACACTTAAATAAAATTTGAAGTGAAAAGTTCTAATCAATCTCTTTTTTTAATACCGAAAGCATCACCTTAACAAACAATAATATTGAGTAAGGAACGGTTAAGAAAATATATTTATGATCTATGGCTCCTTCCTGGTCTCTATAACTTCAAAAGAAAGGCTAAGATATGATTCTGATCAATGGCTGTTATGGCTACAAGCTTTCTATGCACTTGTATAAAAAAATTAGTAACAATATGTGTAAATTCAGGTATCAATACAATGACGAACACCCTGAAAACAACTCTATTTGTAAACTCAACTGTGACATTACATTCGTTTTAACAGTACAGTTTACAGAAAAGTATAATATATTTTTTGTTAATTTCTAACTATTTATGTCAAGTCATCTAATGCATAAAGTTAACATTTTTGTTTGTTTGCTCGTCATTTATGCGTTCGAATAGTGTTTCCGGGTCCACTTGGAACTGGATGCATTTATTTTGGGACTTCAACTAGGGTTATTAGTTGTCGAGAGAAGCTAGGTGAAACGCGAGCAACAGTACATCAAATGAAACAATTTTATATATTTGTTGATAGCCAAAGCTGAAGTGGCTAGCATTTATCAGTACGTCACTAAATTAACCACTTAACGACATGTCAATTTTAAGTTTTTTTTTTGCAAGCCGTACATAGTTGTGGGACCAGTGGTGTTTGGCAATAAATTGTAAATTCCAATTAGATACAATAATGAAAACAAATGTATTTTATTTATATTTTATACCGCTCATGACTCCGAGGGACTCTGCGACGGGAACTTGCTGAACTGAAAAAGTTTCATCAGGAGAATAAACACAATAACATCGTCACAGTATAATCGATTTAATATCGATAACACGAAACATTAAATCGATTATTTATTTATTAATTTCGGGGATCTTAAGTTTTCAAGTACTCACCGGGCAAGTCTGCCATTACTGCGGACGTGCTCATGACCGCGTTGGCGTCTGCACTGGCGCGACTGGCCTTCATACTGCCGCCAGTCGACGGCTTCAGGCCCAAGATCCAGACCTGGTACGGACCACGTTCGGGATGAATTGATATTTATTATGATAGTATATCAGGCACTGGTGAAATGGTTCATATCCATAGAAATTATTTGTTTATTTATATTATTAGCTAATTTTATTAATTTTTATTAATTAATTTTTTTCCTACCTAAGCTGATAGCTCATATATTTCATAGATAGATAGATAGATAGATTTCAGCGTAACCCTAACTAGTAGGTGAGCTCACGGGGCTCAAATTTGACGACGTTGCTAACACGAACCCTAGCAAGAGTCTTGCTTCGCAGAATCTACGCAATATGCAATTAAAACTTTGACGTCACTCTTCAATATAGTTCAACATTCAAGTTGTGATGTCCGTGGACTCCGCTAGCCAAACAAAATCAGTTCAGATTCATTTAGTTTTTGCGGCGTTATTTTTACGAAATTTGGTAACATTATTAAAAAGTGTGAAAGACGATATGTGTAAGAGGGGTGTGAGCGAAGAAATGATATATGATAGAGGAGTACAGAAGGAGAAAGCATGATGCGTCGACCCCGTCGTGACTGGGAGAAGGGCAAGAGAATGATGACGATTATTTATATAAAGTCTTTTTTTCGAAATTACTAGGAATATATAGTTTTATTGGCTGAATTAGTTTTTGTTCGGGCTTAATGAGTAAACATAACCCAATAACCTTCTGATACAAGTGAAAGTGCACAAGTGTCATGTTTTTTTCGAATTATCCAAAGTCAAATTCTTACCACTTTAATGTCGCTAGTTGATTTATAAAAAACAAGGCCTTATAATACTAAAGAATTGGCTGCATGTGCTACTTTCCGTTTGCCTATGTAAGCGGACAACAAAAGATTCATACCAAATGCTGCAGCGTGGTTAGAACCGGGAACCAGGCCTGTTGTATGACGTCACCGTCGCGCTGCGCCGCGCACAGTAGCGCCTTCATGGCGGTCACGTGTCTTGATGTCACCATCACGAAGGACTGCTGCTGTCCTGGTGTCGTGTATTAATACAAGCGTGTTTTATTTGTATGTGGATCAGCTGGCGACATCCTCAGTGAGTATACAATACATCATGGAAATGAAGGTAATATTCTGGGCACATATTTAGTCCTGTTGAGATATGTAAACCCGTATTCATCATCACTACATAGTATAAAACAAAGTCGCTTTCTCTGTCCCTATATCCCTATACATGCTTAAATCTTTAAAACTACGCAACGGATTTTGATGCGGTTTTTTTAATAGATAGAGTGATTGAAGAGGAAGGTATATGTATAATAGCATCCATTAAATAGTGGAGAAATCAATAATAAATTACAGTTTCTGAAGCGAAGCGAGGTCGGGTCGCTAGTTAATCTCATAAATCTCAGGGTAGCTGCGAGAATATTCCAGCCAACTGAGTTTCTCGCCGGATCTTCTCCGTGGGTCCCAATTCCAATCCGGTGGTAGATTATGCGAAGCACTGCTCTTGCTAAGGCTAGTGTTAGCAAATTCTCTCAGGTTGAGCCCGTTAGCTCACCTACCCGTCCCGGCGTAGCTTTTTTTTTTTTATTTTTTTTTTATTGCTTAGATGGGTGGACGAGCGCACAGCCCACCTGATGTTAAGTGGTTACTGGAGCCCATAGACATCTACAACGTAGACGCGCCACCCACCTTGAGATACAAGTTCTAAAGTCTCAGTATAGTTACAACGGCTACCCCACCCTTCAAACCGAAACGCATTACTGCTTCACGTCAGAAATAAGCAGGGCGGTGGTACCTATCCGCGCGGACTCACAAGAGGTCCTACCACCAGTAATTACGCAAATTATAATTTTGCGGGTTTGATTTTTATTACACGATGTTATTCCTTCACCGTGGAAGTCAATCGTGAACATTTGTTGAGTACATAGCTACCAGTGAAAAAGTAGGGAAAAACAAAAGAAGAGAATATTGCTTAGACGTTGCGTAATTTTTGAACGCGTCAACTTCTTTTGTTTTCGTAGTACAACCTTTATTTATTTATTGCCGTTATAGGCAGACGAGCATACGGCCCACCTGAGGATGAGTGGTTACCGTCGCCCATGGACTTCAGCAATGCCAAGGACAGAGCCAAGTCGTTGCCTACCGAACTTCTCACTAGGTTTACATCCGAATGGAGGGTGAAGGTCAATTTTTTTAACAACGGAGGTTGTGTAATCATCTTCATCATCATTATCCTGCCCTTCTCCCAGTCACCTGGGGTCGGCGCAACATGTTTTCTCCTTCCATACTCTTCTACCATATACCATTTCTTCGCTTACTCCCCTCTTACCCATATCGTCTTTCACGCAATCCATCCATTTCTTCTTAGGTCTACCTCTTCCTCTATATTCTTCCACATTCTCTTACCAACCTCATTTTCATTTCGTCTCATCACATGTCCATACCATCCCAAACGCACACTTCTCAGCATCTGTCACATGTGCCACTTTCAGATTTCCTCTAACACACATCCATCGCAACATTCGCACCTCTGCTGCATGCAATCGCCGTTCGTGTAATCAGTGAGTATAGTTACCAGAGGCCGGCGCGGCCGAGGGCAGCGGCGTCCCGACCCACACGACGTGGTGCCGGCAGTCGGGCTCGGGCGCGGCGGGCTCGCGTCTCCAGGGGCAAGCGCCCAGGGCTCCGGCGGCGTACTGCGCGGGCAGCGCGCTGCGGCACAACGCGCCCACGCACGCGTCCCGCCCCGCAGACACCCCCACCTGCACACGGGAGCACCGCCGAGTGCACAGGGTAACTTGACCGTTGAGAAAGTTGGTGGCATGGTGGATAGCACAGTCATGCGTTCCGGTTTAAATAGCAGGACGGTTTTATACGGCTTCGGCTTCGGCAACGCGTCTCAATGTGATGGGTTGCATCCAATATTATTCGATAAGAACAGAAAAAAGGAATGAAGCATTTCTACAGGAACGATGCAGTTTACGGGTGGTAGGACCTCTTGTGAGTCCGCGCGGGTAGGTACCACCACCCTGCCTATTTCTGCCGTGAAGCAGTAATGCGTTTCGGTTTGAAGAGTGGGGCAGCCGTTGTAACTATACTCGAAACCTTAGAACTTATATCTCAAGGTGGGTGGCGCATTTACGTTATAGATGTCTATGGGCTCCGGTAACAATTTAACACTAGGTGGGCCGTGAGTTCGTTCACCCATCATCGTCAGCATGCGGCAATCCATTGCTGGACATAGGCCTCCCCAAAGCTCGCCACTGAACCCGATCTTCGGTTCACTCACCCATCATCCACCCATCTATGCAATAAAAAAATCTGGGCGTGAAGACAAGCGGGGTTGCGGAAGTGATTGTATCATTTTCATGAGGCCGGTGTCTCCATCGTACAGTACAAGGGTTAGGTCACCCACATAACCGGCTCCAATGATAGGCATTGACACTGACCTTGCCGCTGACCCTGGCCAGCGTCTGTATGGCACGCAGTATGTTCTCCAGCTCGCCGATGCTCGCGTCGGCCAGCACTGACAAGCCCCACACCAGGCCGCACCACGAAGATTTTAACAACTAAAAAAACATTTTTTTCTTATTGCCCTTGTTAACAGGCAAACATACCGTCCACCTAATGACGAGTTGTTACCGTCGCCCATGGACTTCAGCAACGTCAGGGACAGAGCCAAGCCGCTGCCTGCAATTTATACGTGTCACTTAAAACTAACAAACAATACGTTCACCTGATCACTAGCGGTGCTGTACGCTGTAAGGCAGCACGTAATATTATGAACTTTCTTTTTCGAATTCGTAAACTTTGACAAAAACCTATGTATATTATAATATGTATGAAATATTTTTTGGCAAATTTCACGGATAATATTCATACCATCAACGACACTCAAAGTAAATACATAAGAAGTGCCTTTAAATATTTTTAGATACGTGAACGCTTGTGCTTGTGTGCGTGCGTGCGTGCGTGCGCGTGTGTTATATTTGCGTACGTACGTGCGTGCTTGCGTGTGTGCGTGCGTGCGTGCTTGCGTGTGTGCGTGCGTGCGTGCGCGTGTGTTATATTTGCGTACGTGCGTGCTTGCGTGTGTTATATTTGCGTACGTGCGTGCTTGCGTGTGTGCGTGCGTGCGTGCGTGCGTGCGTGCGTGTGTGCGTGCGTGCGTGCGTGCGTGCGCGTGTGTTATATTTGCGTGCTTGTGTGTATTAGTGTGTAAGGCAGATATTTATGTGTATGTGTTAGCCATCTCTGGCCTCGCTGCCCGCGTGTAACATACGGACCTGTAATCTCAGCTCCGTTTCTTTGTCGCTATCGTCGGAGGCCGCTTGAACTACGTTCGAATTCTGATCTGCTTCGACGCTGTGCCCGTTACTGGTTAAGCTCTGCTCCGTCGTTGTCGTGTCTCAAAATAAAAAGTTTTCTTTAGTGACACAGTAGTCAGCGAGTATAACAGTGGCTGGTAAAGATTGGCTAAGCACCGACAAGGATGAGAAGAAATGGTGTACCTTAGAGGCTTTTACCCGAAGGGGGGTCCACACAGAAATAATGTAAATAATATTAAAATTAATATAAGAAAAAAACTAACTTTTTAATCCTAACTTCTTAATTAACTTTTTAATCTTTAATTATTACTTTTTTACTTTTTAATAAATAAATAAAAAACATTAATGTATATTCAAATTGTTTGTAATTCAGTATTGTTTTGTGTGGAATAAAGAAAGCTTTAGTCCACATAATTATATTATTATTATATATCAGCGACACGGATTAGTTAGCCAGGGGTCAGCAGTTCGATTCTCACTTCAGGCCTAAAGAACAGGTCTCATATACATGTATAGATTTAAATGAGAACTTAGAACTTATATCTCAAGGTGGGTGGCGCATGTACGTTGTAGATGTCCATGGGCCCCAGTAACCACTTAACACCAGGTGGGCTGTGAGCTCGTTAACCCATCTAAGCAATAAAAAAATTATGTATGTTTCTGATTTCCATACTACATACAGGGAATCCTAGTTTCTAGAAGGAATTCCAGGGACCAAATAGATGCATGTGATTTGACGCTAAATATTTATTTTAATATTTTATACCTGTGTTACTTTTATTTGAATTGAGTTCTTTTTCATCGCCGTCATGAAGATCTTCATACATTTCTTGTAATCTGTTTACACAAAAAAAATACTATATGCATATATTTGTGTAGATACCAAGGGTCCATGAGAACAAAACCACTCTCTTTGGCCAGCCCATACCGTGGGCCTCGAAGGTCAAATGCCTGGGCGTCACCCTCGACAGAGGGAGACGTCTAGCAGTTGCTTCGCGAATGAGAAATATTACTTCATATTTACGGTTATTTTTACACAGAATTTAAAAGCTGTAAGTATTTAAAACGTCGGATATAATGTACACGAAATTGAGCCCTAAAAATAAAATTAAGTTCATTTCAATTGTGAGTGTTACCTGAAGTACTCGGACCCCTCCACGGTTATGGCTATGGACCGTATTATCTCCATCAAGCACGCGTAGGCGACGGAGATGCCGTATCCGTCTTGGATCGTAGGGGCCTCGGTTCGATCCAGCATCTCTATGCTGATCAAACATTTACGATTTTATTGTGAGGAAATCTTACTAGTAGCATTTGCTTTGACGGCGTAGCTTATTGGTAAAACCGACTCTCTGTCTATTCGTATTAAAATGATTATCGGACATACTACTCTTAAATCTTCACGTCTCATCTCACAGTAAGCGGTGCCAGATGCATCTGCGTTGTGTTAGACAAAATTATATTCCTTTTCGATTACTTTTTTATTATACTATATGGTGAAAGTCGTGCGTGAACATTAGTTAAGCACGTATTAATTTAGAAGAACTCCTAAAACATTTTTGTTAACAAGTAATGACACGTTGAAAAGGCTCACAAATTTCATGTTTGTCGAGTTCCCTAATCAAGATCGAACCTTGCGGTAACCACTTAAAGTTCTCTATTACAATAAAGAGTGCACACCAAAACATAGCGTCTGTGCTTTGAAACCGTCAGAGTTCCTTTATCAAGATCTAAGTCCGAATGCACACTAGAAGATTGCACAAAGTGGGAATGAGTTGCTCGCTCCGGGCATTTCAATATTGTAATAATTGTTATGTTATATTACTCATGTAAAAATGAATATTAATTTTTTTTATCTAATATTAAAAAAAAAAAAAAGAAATGCCCGCTGAGTTTCTTGCCAATTCTTCTCAGGACGGAGGCTAGTTTTTGTGAATTGGCGGTAGTTCTTTTGACGTTCAACAAGTATGTACTTTCATTTATGTTAAATAATTTTTTTTGATTTTTTTTATTTGATAATGCACATCACCCTTACAATACATAATGTGTTGTCATCAAATCAAAACCAACAAGTGAAGTTAAACTACGTAGGATACGACAAAGAGGTTCTAACTTACAAGACTTGCAAGACTAGACCAAAGCATACATGCAAAAAAACTGTACGTCAAATAAAAGCCGGTAAAATTTCGTACCACAGGCTCGATGCAAAGGTACACTTTCATAATTTAGACTGTGCCTTCAAAAATGAACTTTACAACAACGATCATATTTAACAATTTAGAATTTCCTTCGGTATTCACGAATTATAGACATAATTAACACGTTGAACGCCATGACGGATATCATGTGTTAACGGCGCATACTGTCCCCTAGGGACGCACCAGTATATCAAGACCGTCCCAAAAATCGTTGAGGTGTTCTTTCTCGTGGTGTATCTTGCGACCCCCTGAACCCGGCTTATTGGGGGTCACGGGGAATCAGCCGCCGTGGTCCACTGCGCTAAACATGGTTTCCAATCTGACGTTCAACATCTTACAAGGACTTTTACGGTTTAATCTCGCATTTTAATTTCATTACATTACTTCCGAATTTACGAATACTTTTTCCTGATCACGGACGCGACTGCCAGGCATGGCGACAATAAAAATGCGAAATTAAATCGTAAAAGCAGTTTTGATGAGGTAGCGACCACGAGCGGAGCATGCGGCGAGAACGTTGAACTCACTAGACAGCCTTGGCTGTACCACGCTCGAATGTGACGCAGAGCGGCAGCCAGACTCCCTTGCAGTAGAAACCCGATTGCTGAGGTATCGCCGATGTACCTGTGACCAAATGTATGCATTTTTATTTTATTTTATATATCCGGTTAAACTATAGACGTCAATAATGTATCCGGACACCGTCCTCGTCAAACCCGTCGCTTGCGGCGAAGGGCTCAACGAGAAAATTAACCCACAGACACAGCCCACTGAGTTTCTCGCCGGATCTTCTGAGTGGGTCGCGTTTCTGATCCGGTGGTAGATTCTGCGAAGCACTGCTCTTGCTAGGGCCAGTGTTAGCAACACTCCGGTTTGAGCCCCATGAGCTCACGTACACGTTAGGGTGAAGCTGAAATAGCGTCTCAAGGCTATCAGCAAAGGCAGGAAAAAAAGAAAATGTAAAATATGTTGCCACCCTCCCTCCTTGAGACATGAGTTCTAAGTTTCAATACTATAGTTTAACGACTGCCCAACCGTTTAAACGGGAACGCTGATCGCATCATAAATCGGCAGAGTGGTGGTACCTACCCGTACGGGCTCCTAAGACGCCAAATAATTCCCCCCCTCCCCGCCACCAAATAAAAAAGAACCTAATGAGAACGAGAACATTCTCCTTTTTTTAAGTCGTTTAAAAATAGATGGCAAAAGTTCGATTTTGACGTTTTAGTTTTGTAATCTCCCGCCAAATTGAACGGTGGTCGGGCAGAATTAAAAAAAAAATACGTGAAATCATTAGAGGTTGGCAGTAAAGCTTCTAAACTTTAAAATTCAATAATACTGCACTATCGTACAGCAGGTTGGCAAACTTTGTTAATCTGTGTATTTTAACTCGCTGACGTTTTCAATCACACACAATCCAGGCGGCCATGGATTTGAGATTAGTAATTATTCTACAAGCAATAACATTAACGTTTCCTATTGGACTAAAAAAAAATATTTCAGATATGCTACGTAAGTTCTTTAGAACCGTTCTCATGACTTATTATGAGACAATTTTTACGATAACATCTCTACAATTAATCTTAAAATCATGGTGTGGTAGTCCAGTTAGCTTCAAGTGCAATGCAAAAATAAAAATTATTCAAGAATATGCAGTAAAGCAATTAAAATACAACTTTAGAACATTTTATTGAATTTTCAACACCAGCTCCAGCGAGAAACAAACGTTAAAATAATTATTATTCACTTAATTTTTCAATAGAGCTATAGAGTTTGCTGAAGCCAGACTATGTGGTATTAAAGAATATCCACAGAGGCACACACCGCAACACGAATTTTCTTTTCAATTCTGTCTGATCCATTCGAATTTTATATGATGAATTATCAAGTTTATCGTTTATTTCAAGTCGTCGTGGCCTAAGGGATTGAGTATTCGTATCTAGCGATGAAACGGTGTTCGAAACCCGCAAGCAAGTACAAATTTTTCTAAAGAAATACGTACTCAACAAATGTTCACGATTTAGTTCCACGGTGAAGGAATAGCATCGTATAATAAAAATCAAAACCGTAAAATTATAATTTGCGTAATTACTGGTGGTAGGACGTCTTGTAAGTCCGCACGGGCAGGTAGCACCGCCCTGCCTATTTCTGCCGTGAAGCAGTAACGCGTTTCGGTTTGAATGGTGAGGCAGTCGTTGTACATACTATACTGAGACCTTAGAACTTACATCTCCAGGCGGCATTTACGTTGTGGATGTCTATGGGTTCCGGTAACCATTTAATATCTTTTGAGTGTGAGCTGAGCCATCTAAGCAATAAAAAAAAAACTCTTCAGAGAACAGGTACACCCTGATGATGAATGCGAAAATACAAGCCCACAAGATACGTTGCACGAGACGCTTCTCCCCTGGAACTTGCATGAAAGCCGTCGAACCGATGTGGACTTATGTACTGCGTACTCAGAATTGCATGTACGTAATTACAGCGATTAACTTGTACGATACGATTACGACTCTTTACTGATGGTAGGACGTCTTGTGAGTCCGCAAGGTCTCAGTATAGCAGGGGTCGGCAACCTGTTCGTCCTTAAGGGCGCAATACTAAATTTGAAAATCACCGAGAGCGCATATTTTACAGATAATCAACAGGTATAATAAATAGGCATTAATTTTTTATTTTTATTTTTTATAACTTTATTTTGTTGGTGTCATACATAATGATACGTATAATTTAGTGTAAAACTTGGGTGTCCATATATTCAGCTAATTTCTTATAATTGGGGATATATTTAGAGTTCCCGGTCCATAAACAATTATTTAAAGTCATTAAGCTTTGTTCGGTATTTTAATTTCAAATGCGCCTGTACAACAAAATCCCACAAGATGTTCAGAACCTACATATACATAGGTTTAAGAAAACTGTTAAAGAACGTCTGTGCAATAAAGCTTACTATAAAGTCAATGATTATCTAGAAGATTGCACAAAGTGGGAATGAGTTGCTCGCTCCGGGCATTTCAATATTGTAATAATTGTTATGTTATAATTACTTATTGTAAAAATGAATATTTAAAAAAATGTAATATTAAAAAAATAATCTAATATTTAAAAAAAAAAAAGACACGCCCGCTGAGTTTCTTGCCAATTCTTCTCAGGACGGAGGCTAATTCTTGTGAATTGGCGGTAGTTCTTTTGACGTTCAACAAGTATGTACTTTCATTTATGTTGAATAAAACTTTTTTGATTTGATTTGATTTGAAATATTTCATTCCCGTTCATCGTTAAAATAATATGTTCTTTTTCTTTTACATTTATCCATGCAGGGTTTTGAAAGAAAAGAATTATTTCGGATTACTTGGTAGTTTTAAATGCCCGGTCTACGCGTGGTCTATTCGAAGTACGATCACACACTAACAAAAAATACGTGCGTGTTATTAGACACGCTCAAGGTTAGCAAACTGCTAATCTATGCACAATCTTAAACTCAACTGACTACTTGCTGTATATCGCCGTTTGACAATAGTAAGTAAATCGATCTGGCTATCATACATTTACATTAGTCCAGCGAGGGCGCATTAAAAACCGATCGGGGGCGCCGCGTTGCCTATCAGTTACAACGGCTGCCCCGCCCTTCAAACCGAAACGCATTACTGCTTCACGGCAGAAATAGGCAGGGTCGTGGTACCTACTCGTGCGGACTCACAATAGATCCTACCACTAGTAAAATCGTTGGACTGAATACATTTAATCTCTTTTCCAGCCCACGATTAGGATGCCCTACCGAGAGACGTTCCAATCGCTTCCGTTCCTTCGAATCGTGCATAATCTGTCGTTCGCTTCTCCAGTTAATGGTGTATTTCGCGAAATTCGACTCCTTGAACATCTCCAGTCGATGGGACAGTTTAGATTTGAGAGCACACCACCACGGTTCGTACGATTATCACGTCAAGGGGTGAAAAGCTTTTTTTTTGTTATTGCTTAGATGGGTTGACGAGCTCACAGTCCACCTTCCACCTGGTATTAAGTGGTTACTGGAGCCCATAGACATCTACAACGTAAATGCGCCACCCACCTTGAGATATAAGCTATTTGGTATAAGCGAAATTTTTGCAACTTTAGTGATGACAAGGAGAAAGAGACAACTTGTGACAGCCCTATGTACCAGCGGGGTAGTCTAGGACTACAACAACAACATGGTTGAAGTTCAATTAAAAACATCGAACTGTTGATGCTAAGCACCAAATAAAAAGCACCTTTAATTACAAAGTAAATGTCGCGTATTAAACAAAATGTCCCTTAATCCCCATTCCCAATCCCTTAAACCCAAATAACATTTTACCACTCGATAGACATCTTTAGATTGGCAATTTGTGCAGTCAATATTGCAGCAAATATTGTATTATTCACCTGATGGCGAGTAGTTACCATCGCTCATAGACCTCAGCAATGACAGGAGCAGAGTCAAGTTGCTGCCTACCATTAAATACTCTCAGCAAGGCTCTATATTTAATATAGCCGTACTCACCCATTTAAAATTCTTTAAAATCAACATTACTATTAATTGTCATTATTATTAGGGAGTCCAACACTCATATAAATAGTAGCCTATTAATTAAGTATATGTATTTTCTAAATGGATACCAAAATTCAAGTCAATCGGATGCTTGGTTCAGTAGTTATAACGGAATATCCACTGTAGATTTATATATTATTAGTATAGATATAGATTATCTGTGCTAAATTATGTTACGAAGTATGTTAAAAGCTTTTGTAAGCTGTAAGGATTCATTTAACTTATATTCTCAGGAACCGCTGGGTCAATAAAAGATTTCAATATCACGATATCCGACGAGGACTATTATAGCCCTGAAGACTATGCCACCCTCCGAGAGTACAGATCCGATGAGTTTGTAGGTCCAATTCCGAAGATTGACCATGATTTTTCTGATGAACATTTAGATGACGTTGCGTAATTAAGACTCGACTACGGAAAGATAAGGTCGGATTCACGATTCAAATAAAAAAAAACTGTGATTTAAAATAAAAATATTCGACACTAAAAAGAGACAACAATACATCGGTAGGATTTACCCTGCGAGAGAACGAGATAGAGCACTTATGTGTATATATAATACGGGTGAATGTTGTACGTGTTAGTCTTGCGGTCTTGTCTTTTAAATATTAGAACTAAATATATTTTGACAAGTTCGAAATTCAACCTTTTCCCTGAAGATAGCGTATAATAAACGGTATCTTGATTCATTTGTGTCTGATTTGAATTTGTATCTTCTTTTTTTCCCTACCTATTTGCTAATAGACTAGGGGGCTATTTCGGGCACGCCCGGACGGGTACCTGAGCTCAAAGGCTCAACCTGAGATTATTTTCTAATACTAGCACGACCCACTGAGAAGATCCGGCGAGAAACTGGGCTGTGTCTATGGGTTAGTTCGATAGTCGAATTCTTCATCGTAATCATTGAGGAAGTATCCAATTCAAGTCTCCGACATTTGATTACGCTAAAATCAGGTATAATTTTGGTGATAACGTATGAACGCCAGCCACACAACACAGAACCGACGTCTTTATGCCCGTTAGATTTTTCTGAATAAATTGACCCTGGGTAGTAACACTGGGCGGGTTTTATGATAAAAGTGGTCATAAGAACCTCCTAACCAAACACATTAAGAATTTAATGCCTTTTCTTACGATCATACGACTTATCGAATTGTCAGTAGTCACCGGCGCGTATGGCCTGATAGTCAAGGGTACATACAGTCAACCCTGAGGCAAGCCAATCGCGGCGCACTTATTTTTTCGTTTCGTTTCATTTCGTTTCATCGAGTTTGAAATCACATCACAACGATTCTAAAGAAGTTTCACTTCAAAAAAAAAAAAGGTAGTTGTACACGCACCGGGGGGCGCGGCCGCTCCTGGTGACGCGAACAGGCTCTGCACGTAGGCGCCCAGCGCGTTCACGATGTCCTGGAAGATGTTGGTGGCGTGCGGCTTCATGTCGTAGCAGTCGCAAAACGACTTCAGCAGCTCTGGGCACAACGCGCATACGAACTTAGTTCGGACACACTATGTAAAGACTTTGGACTTTTTGGCGGGAACGCGAGGAGTGAAGTTGTGTGATTTGTTTCATTTTGTGTATTTAGTGTTTCTTCAGGTTTAAATTTGTAATAACAGTGGTTTATTAACTGTTTAATATCTGTGAAAGTTCACAAATGTAGGAAAATGAAACAAAGCCTCTGAACGTAACTTCTCGGGATCCTCCAAAAAGTCCACTGAAAAAATCTCAGTAAATGACCACCACTTTACTGAGATTATATTTCATCCCATAACATTTCATCTGACTATATCTAATTTCATCCCAGTTGATTAATGTTTCAAATTTATCATCTTCATTTCATTTCATTTCTCTCCATGTTATCATTTTTCATAACAATAAGAATGTAAATTAAAATAAGACACGACCTAAAGGTCTACATTACCAGTTCATGAAATCCCTTTAAAAAAATGTGAAAACTTTTTGAACGCCCGGGCGTTCGTTGACCCGAGCATCAGCTGTTTTTGATTTACTGTTCATTACTGTTTCTTTTAGTAATGTATTTTTTATGAAACATTGGTTCATTTAACTGTACTAACATGACGGAGCGTAAATAATAAAACGTTTTTTTCCGTCCCATTATCAAAAGTGTCATTAGTACTATCGTTAGTTTTCGTAGTTTTCCTAACACCCAATTTATAATGATGTCTAGGATCGAATTCGACTTAAGATCAAGTTTATCTGTTTTTTATTCGCTAAGACCGTACTTACTGGGCTGTATTGTCATCTTGTGTAAAACTTCTAAAGCTAAAGCTCGCTGCCACAACGGCTTGTCGGGATCTAGAAATTTTATCGTCAGCGACAGAAATATTTCGCACTCCGTCACCTGGAACAGAATGTTTACTGTACAATGACGTCACAAATTATCTTACCTGGTCCACGAGTAATCAGTCTATACGATTCGATCGAAATGTGTTTACTGGTATATGCTTGCACTGGCGTCAGTTATGTTATAAGTTTTATGCAACAGTAATCGTTATACAACCTCATCTCGCGATTCATACGTGCCGATAAGACAATTTCAAGGAGTCGTAAAGAATTACCAAAATTTGTTTAAAAAAAATATCGATAAAAAAATCGATACGAACTACTTATGTCAATATAAAATTCGATACGAAATACTTATATCGATATTAATTAACGTCATACTCACAAGTAAAGAGTGGTATTTGTGCAGGATCACTGAGACGAGTCTGAGTAGCCTCATCGTGACGGGGAAGTGCGGGCGCTCAGGTGTTCCGCCCCCGTTCGCGCCCGCAGCCCCTGGGATGTGCAGGGCCGTCAACGCAGCCCTGGAATCGTCAATACGATTATATCACACGGGCATGATTTTTGTGTGCTTAGTGCGAGTTTTTTAGCTTCTCAATCGCGTAAAAGTTAACTTAAATCTGTATGGAATTGGAACAGCGCCCCTAGCGGATACGAAGGGAAGCTGTTCCAACTTTAAAATCAAACCCGCAAATTATAATTTGCGTAATTACTGGTGGTAGGACCACTTGTGAGTCCGCACGGGTAGGTAACACCGCCCTGCCTATTCCTGCCGTGAAAAAGTAATGCGTTTCGGTTTGAAGGGCGAGGCACCCGTTGTAACTATACTTGAGACCTTAGAACTTATATCTCAAGGTTCCCACCTTAATTTCCCATTTAGGTTATAGATGTCTATGGGCTCCAGTAACCACTTAACACCAGGTGGGCTGTAAGCTCGTCCACTCATCTAAGCAATAAAAAAAATAAAAATAAAATATACATGTCAGCCTCACGTCAGCCTCATGTCAGTTCATCATAAGTTACATTTTACAATTAAATTATGATGTTTTCAATAATTTTAATAATTTACTGTTTTCATGATCACGAACGGCTTGTCTGCAACGGTCAAAGTAGTTTTGACTGTGTCTAAGGCTAAAGAAAATACTACGAGGGTAGTTGGCCAATAGTCTCTGTCTTCTCACAGTCTCAAGCAGAGGTCAATGACGAAAACGTGGTACTCATTCTTGATTTGAACCTACAGGACATCTTCCAACAGCAATGCCAGACACCTCGTTTCCAGCAGTAGTGTGACGTCACAGATAGTTACCTGTACTTGACGTTCGGTGAGAACAGTTTAATTATCAGCGCGCAAACGTGCTCCTTCAACAGGAACCTGAACTCGGATATCTGAAATAGAAACGTACATAAAACGCTACGAGAAACGATTATTATATACAAACATCTGCCGCCTCCCGAAGTGGTAGGACCTCTTGTGAGTCCGCGCAGGTGGGTACCACAACCCTGAATATTTCTGCCGTGAAGCAGTAATGCGTTTCGGTTTGAAGGGTGGGGCAGCCGTTGTAACTATACTGAGACCTTAGAACTTATATCTCAAGGTGGGTGGCGTATTTACGTTGTGGATGTCTATGGGCTCCAGTAACCACTTAGCAGCAGTCCACCCATCTAAGCAATAAATAAAAAAAAAGTGATGACGGGTCGTGATGGTCATTCTGTTTACTGTAATATCTTATCGGAGCATTGATGCTCTCTCCGAGATCATGTCCGTCGCAAATCTAGAAGCGTCTCCAGTCTACACGGGCTACTTTCGATACATCCGCATCATGCAAGCGTTAATACATTTCCGCTTTTCGTTACATTGCTCTGTCTGTAACGCATCACGATTTTTTTTTCCTACCTAAGCTGATAGCCTTGAGAGGCTATTTCAGCGTAATCTTAACTAGCAGGTGAGCTCACGGGGCTCAAACCTGACGACGTTGCTAACACGAACCCTAGCAAGAGCCGTGCTTCGCAGAATCTATCACCGGATCGGAAGCGCGACCCACTGAGAACATCCGGCGAGAAACTCAGTGGGCTGTGTCTATGGGTTAGTTTACTCGTCGAGCCCTTCATCGGTTCGACGAGAACGATGATCGGTGCTTGAGGTACCTACCTAAAAGCACCGTTAGTGGACCACGCTTAATGACTATTCTCCAAATTAGAAACAAGAGAAACTTAAAAGTAACATAAAGTTAGCTTATTATATACTTATATATACCTTAATACGATGCTATCAAATAAAAAAATTAATAATCACCTTGAAGAAAACCGGTGAGAAGTCAGTAAGTACTGTGTCCAATAACTCCAGGCCGAATGTCTTGGGCACATCCGATATGCCGACGAGCCAGTGGGCGGCGTCACCGTTTATTAACTGAATTATATCCTGGAATCAAATTAGATTTTCTTACTATGATTTTGGGTGTTTGAATTTTTCTTAAAAATAAATACATGTTATCTGTATGTATATAAGCGAAACCTGGGGGCAGGCCTGTGATGATGATGTTAACATATATATACATATATAGGCAAAGACAAAAAGGACAAAAAGTTAACTACCATTTTTTGTTTGTTTGCTATTGAGAAACTTTAGCATTATTGACAAAAAAAAAATAACACATTTTTTTAAGTGTCAATTATTCCCTCCCTTCTCTCAGCTAAAGAGTCGACGATGCATCCTTAATACCTTTCATCGCCTCGAAATAAATATTGTCTCCAGCGTCTAGTCGAGCGAACTACCAAATAATGTTCGATAATAACTCACTTGCAAAATAAGATAGGCATCAACGGCACACGGTTTGAGGTCCTTTGGCGCTTTGTTATTACTCTGCAATCTAACATCGGCCGGATTCACTTTTAGATTACCTGAAATTAGAACACAATAAAGATTTAAAGAGAAAATATTTATAAGGCAGTCACATTTTTTGTAAGCAACTATAACGAGATACTTTTAAATATGTTATGTAGTGAACATAGCTGAGTTTTCGTGAGTTCAAGAAGTAGCTCAAATATTCATATATTTAAAAAATCATGTAAGATAACTGTAGAGACAATCAAAAATTATACAATATATTGAATTAATATTTGTCTTTTATGCGTTTCTGAACCCTTAATCTGATTGTGATTTTTATACTTTTATAATCTATGATACTAAAAATAACAAATAAGTAAACAAAAAATTGGAAAATTTACAATTTGAAAATCATTGCCACACTTAAAAAATTGTCGTAAATTAATAGTTAATGAAAGGCGATAATTCGTCTTGTCGCATTAAAACTGTATAATCTCAAAACTTACTAATTTTACAGGAGAGTGTTTTAAAGGTTTATCATGTGATATTTTTAATATTAATCATCTTTGCAACATTAATTTTTTATTTTCTACCAGTAACATTATCTATCTTTTAAAGTAAGATAACATTATGTATTAATTTTGTTACCAGTAAACTACGATCTTTTGACAGTATTTATGAGAAAAATACTGGTGATACCAAATGATTCCGCATATTAACTCAATTTCGAATATTTTTGAAAATCGTATACTTTTAATGCTAATAATAATAAAACTAATAAAAGACGAATTGTTTATTACCATCTGCCTCAGCAAGTGCCCTCTCAAAAACTAAGGCGACCAGTTGCCTCACAGTGGCGGCTGCGGCGTGACTTGTGCTAATATCCCTTGTCTCCGTTGTGGATACCATCTTCATACACATCACCATTGTCTGAAAAATTTTGTACATGAAAATTCTGTCAGCTGCTTAAGAGATAATGTACTCTATTTATATTAATGGCGTTTAAGACCTTTTGGGCACCAGGTGGATCATAGATTTTGTTACTATCTACAACATACACCTACATCTATAGTTAAACGCCATCACTAACACTTAGTTGAACGAAGATCGCCCTTTAGATTTTTTCTTTTTTTATTGCATAGATCAGTGTACGAGCTCACAGCTTACTAGGTGTTAAGTGGTCACCGGAGCCCGTAGACATCTACAACGTAAATACCGCCACCCACCTATGAGTTCTAAGGTCTCAGTATAGTTACAAGGGCTGCCCCACCCTTCAAACCGAAACGCATTACTGCTTCACGGCAGAAATAGGCAGGGCGGTAGTACCTACACGTGCGGACTCACTAGAGGTTCTACCACCGGTAACAATACATAATAAGTTATATGATATTATAATTAGGATCACACTGTCTTATATATACTTATTGTTTTACTTAATTATATTATTTCATTGCTTACCCGTGCCAACGTGTCTCCATGTACCAAATCAGAGGTAGTCATCAACAGAGCAGCAGTTTGAAGCAATTTTAGCTCTAAGACCCCGGCCTGGCCTAGATTGTACAAGCAGTCCACCACATGCCTTGCGCCTTTCGCGTCTATCCCTTGCTGAGCTATTAACCGCTGGATAGTCCCTAGGCAGAACTGACGAGAGATAACATATTAAATTTTTTTTGAGTAATTTAGTGTTGTAAATATTGTGGAGTCAAAAAAGGCTGTCATCAAGTTGCCTAAAAGTACCTTTCTAGTTTCAATGGTTTTTATTTAATTTTTTTATTACCCTTGTAGGTAGGTAGGCATATGGCCCATCTGATGATGAGTGGTTGCTCATGGATGTCAGTATTGCCAGAGGCAGAGATAAGCCGCTCTCTTCCGAAAATTGGGATAGTAGAAAAAAAAAAGTGTAATATTATATATTTTTAAGGACTCTGGTGCTATTTTGTATTTACTATATTGAAAGCAACCTCTTCTGTATAAATCTTTATAATAGGAAATCGAATCAAATAGTACATAAATTATGATGTATTTACACACATTAATCATAGTTATAATATGTCACTGGATGGGAAGTTGTAACAGCTGCAGTTGAATCTTAATATATCCATACTTTGGTACTTGGATCTTTGTGCATTTTCTTTTCGACCTAAATACTAAAAGCGTCTGATCTTTAGTCTATAAGTTAAAGCTTATTTATGCAATAATCTCATTGTTAACAGACTTTATTAAAAAAAAAATGTTTTGAAGATGATATAAAAGGATCTTCTCTTGCCAATGTGACAGGCAGATAGGCAGGACCTATTGAGAACTCTAAAACAGACTTCTTTCAGTACAAAATACAGATTTAAATGAATTCGCCTTGACTAAGTCAAATACTCAGTAACATCTAGAAACACATTGTTTAAAACGATGTGTTTCTAGATGCTTGAATACTTAAATAATAAATGTGAATCTGTAAAAATACTTTTAATTATACGTATAACTTGTAAGAACTAAAGAAAATACTAGATTCTGGAATATATCTATATATATATAAAAATGAATTGCTGTTCGTTAGTCTCGCTAAAACTCGAGAACGGCTGAACTATTTGTGGAACTCCAGAGAAGGTTTAAAAGGTAGATAAATGAATGAAAATGCTCGGAATTAAATAAAAATAACAATTTTGTTTTTCTTTTGAGGTGTCCCCCGTTGGACAGATTCCTTTTGTTCATTTTAAGTTTATTTTATACAAAAGTTTAGGTCTTTTATTTATCGATTGAGGCACTATGAAGTCTGCCGGGTCAGCTAGTAACAAATAAAATCAATTCTGATTATATTTAATGTAATTTACATAACTAAATTTCAAATATTTTTTATCACACTAATGTATAAACCATGTTTTTTTACTGAGATTAAATGTAAAAAAACATGTATGGGTAATACATATAAATTATCAGATAAATATAAAATTATCTTTATACAGTTCATTCTTAGTTTTATTGTTAACTGCATGTAACTTCAATAAATTTATATGGAGACTAGACATAGGTATCAGCTTATATAATACAATTATAATATGTGGTGCAAAATTAAAACAGGAATTAATTAATAATTATATTGATTAAACAATATAATAATTAAAGAATTCAATTATACTTTTTGATTTTACACAACACAAGGATTCTGGATTACATGATTCCATAGTTAATTTTTTTTTTTATTTATTGCTTAGATGTGTGGACGAGCTCACAGCTCACCTGGTGTTAAGTGGTTACTGGAGCCCATAGACATCTGCAACGTAAATGCGCCACACACCTTGAGATATAAGTTCTAAGGTCTCAGTATAGTTACAACGGTTGCCCCACCCTTCAAACCGAAACGCATTACTGCTTTACGGCAGAAATAGGCTGGGCGGTGTTACGTACCCGTGCGGACTCACAAGAGGTCCTACCACCAGTAATTAGGCAGATTATAATTTTGCGGGTTTGATTTTTATTACACGATGTTATTCCTTCGCCGTGGAAGTCAATCGTGAACATTTGTTAAGTGCGTATTTCATTAGAAAAATTGGTATGATATGTCTATAGTGGTAGCAGTCAAAGAATAGAAGTAATTTAGCACTGATATGTGACAATTTTAAAATAGCCTTACTAGTAACAAAATTATGAATGGCTATATTTGGATTTCTGGTTAACGAAACAATAATCTGTTGCTTGGCGAAATAAGGTCTCCCCATCATTTATTTAATTTAAAGGAAATAGCAACATTGCCATTGCTTCAATTTTATAAAAGAGGTCAGAGGTTCCTCCTCCTCCTATGCAAAGTTTTTGCGTGTCCTATTCATTGGCAAGCAAAGCAGTATTTTTACCACATTTGCTTTCATTGGAGTACTAGAGGAAATTTAAAATAAATAAAACTGTAGAAACTTACCTTAATAATTTTCAAATCTTTTGATTCACAACCTTGCACCAGTGGATACAATATTTGATTAACAACACCATACAGTGAAGCTTGTGGATTATTAGAGGCTAAAGACAGTTTTTCTATAGCTTCATCGCAAGCCTGAAAGATTAATGCAATTCTTCTTTGATTGAGATCTTCTGAGAGTTCTTGATTAAAGTAATATTTTTATTGCAAATGAAAGACCATACTTTACTCTACTCTTTATTTTAAGCTTTATATGCGACTGTAGGTCTAACATGACTCTTTAGAACTCTTTGAGAATAGTTGGTAAACTTCGGATTGGTAAGCCAAAATAGGAATTGGTGGATAGAGTGACGGTAATGTAATTTACAAATACTTCAAGCACTATTTGCTCGGAGGGTTTCGTTCACATTTTGTGCAGTAGAGTTTCAACCTATAATCATGGAAGATTCTCTGACCTCTATACTAAATATTACTCTTTAACTTGGTAAGCATTGCGAATCATATAAAAGTGTTTCCGTGCAATAGAACCTTGAACATGGCTAATTAAATTGCGGCTAGTAAAGGAAAAGGATTAAGGATAGTGTTGAACACAGTTTCTCTTTTGCTTAAACTTTACGTTTATAGATTTATGGAAAATCACAGTTAAATTTAACTACTTTTTAGATTATACTTTTTAGTATTTAAAGTCAAATAAAAACAGGAACCTCTCTTATCTGAGGATATTTCTTCTTGGTCTCCAAACTTAAATTTTTAAAGTCGTTCTGAAGGACTTCCATGAACTTCTTTGTTGAATCATCTCCGGTTACGGCACTCACGAATGCCATGATTTGTTTTGTTATTGTTACAATGTTATTATTCACTTTACATTTTATGAAAAAAAATTGACGAAAATTATGCCGTGTACACAATCGACATCACATAATTCGTTCGGAAATTTTTTGTTCGGCACAAAACGCGTAACATCAATGTGAAGTGACAGTTTGTTTACTTGACAACTCAGCTGCAATCATAGATTATACACTTAATATATACGAGCTGCAATTATTAATTCGTGGCACAAACATGAGACAAGTGCTGATCAAAAATTAGTCTTAAGTAATAAATATGTGAAGCTAACACAATATGTTGTATGGTGAATAATAAGCGGTGGCCATTAACCGTCATTGATGTTCCACAAATTATATATATTTTACAGTATTTATGAATAATATGGAGTTAGATAGTATATGTATAATATGGATAGAGATAGTCTTGCTATTTACATTATTTAAATAATGTAAATAGCAAGTGACCAAAATTTAAGTTCGTTTTGAATTTTTTACTTATTGGCTTCAAACGTATAAGATTTGTTAAAATATCCTTCACGGCGATCGATCAGTGAATATCTTTTGCTACCTAAAGCACAGGCAGTCACACAGTATGCGAAAAAGGGATTTTGACTTCTATAAACAATACGTACACGGTTAATTAAAGTGCGAAATGTAGCTTGTGAAACTACTTTCACAAACTAGCGCTTTTGAATACACTTAATATACACTTAATAATTAAGATTTAATTAATTGAACTAGCTTTCAATAGATGCTCAATTATGCTTAGCCATTGGTCGGTTCAGGACTGGCCAAACTATTTTGTACGCTTTTACTCGATAGTTCATCCACTATTTCGCGTCAATTTCAGCCACCTTGCCCCGATATATACAATAACAAAAGGTCAGTCCATTCATACTATTTAGCTCATTTAGAGTTGCGGTGCGTTTTATATAGATGAGAGATTCTAAGCCAGAGATTTACTATCAAAAATATGTATAAAATATTTAGTTGCCAAATTATCTGCATAAATTGTGATAATGTGGTGCAAAACTCAGTCTGGAAGATAGTGGCAATGGGTCCAGGCTGGCATATATTTTGGCAAACCAGGATTCCTTTAGCCAAAGGATGTAAATGTGAAGGGAGCTCTAGGAGGTTGCAGGAAGTTTCCATAACATTAGGTTTGTCGTGGACATTACTCTTACCCTAAAATTTAATCATGACACCCTTGTCTCCTTAAAATTAAGTAGATACTGGATTTTACACTTTTATCCGTATTCAGTAAGTATAGACTTTTGGAAGTTACGCGCACACCACGAAAAAAGTATTGTCAGTCGTCTACCCTATAAGTATTCCTTGTTGTAATCATGGACTTACACCTACGCCATTCTCGAATATATTAAGTGTATAATCTATGTACGCCATTCTTTATAATTTCATGATGTTAACGTACTAAAAAAATCTACTTCATAAATGAATGATTTTGTAAAATTATCGAACCAAAAACGATTTCAGAACGTTCAAATGAAGATGTTTAGTGACAGGAAAAATAAAAGGCCTAAAACCTTCTAATCTGAATGAAAAGACAATGTTATACGAATTGTTTTTTTTACAAACCTTTAAATTGTAAGCACAAATCGAATTATGAATCTCCTTAGTAGATGTAGTAAATGAAAAAAGAACAGGAGGAAAAAAATGATCCGTGTAACTTATATTGTCACACTTGCGTAAAAAGGAATATTACTAAAGTGTTGTAAGCAAAATATAATTTATTCCCAATTTTCATTATGAAATTGGTCAAGTTTTTTAATTAAAATTTCAGAGCAAATGTTCGAGATTGTTAAGTGTATTTAACACACCTCTTTATGCTCAGTTTTATTTAATTCACGTTGCCACCACTCAATAGCACTTGCCACGCAAGTACGAACATTTTAAAACCATGCCGATTGTTATTACTTAATTTTACATTTTCTCGGCTAGCTAGACCTATATAATCTTGAACCATGTAATGGCATGACTAAATACTCGTCTTCATGTACAGTTCACCTTCATCTTCATCAAGCTAGATTAATACGCATATTATGGTAATATTCCCTTTCTATTAATGTGTTTACTTTAGAGACTTGGTGAACGTGTTAAGCCAGCTCAAAATAAATAAAGGTTATAAAATAATAATGTTAAAATAATGTTAACCCTAAAATTATACAATTCTGAATTTACAATTAAACATTTGCGACCTATATGTTACCAATGTGCAATAATATCTAGCTGGAATTTTTTCTGTTCACAAATGAGACAAGAACTAGTTCACGATTACTAATACTAGACTCGATTCAGGTGACTATTTTCATAGGCAAAAAAGTAAGATGAAGCCGTAGACCGTCAGCTTTACTAGGTGCTCAATAATCAAGGCTCTCTTTTCAGACCTCGTTTGGCCATGTAGTCAAACGTACATATAAAATGACAGAAACGATGTCAATTAAGTTGACCCACATCTGACTTTGGCAAGAACTTTTCAACTACAGCAACATCGATCACTGATTGTGCAGAAGAAAAAACAATGGTGTGATTCCAGATTTTTATTCGTAAGTATTTATAGAATACGATATCAATTTAGCAAATGTAATGTGTAGTTCGTGAGGCATTAAAAAGGTGGTCGTATGTTACTATGCCGATAACGTGGAATGTAACCGTTATTGGGCCGAAGAAACTCCTCTGCGAGCTTGACGTGCTGTCATTTTAGTTTTTTACTCTTATTTATTCAACTTTATTCAGCTATGCGCCATTCACTGCAATAGAATGGCCTAAGTCTAGATATACCCACATATGTATGAAACGCGATAGTCTAAGAGCGCAACGGTTGTTTAATAAAAGTGGAACTAAAGTGAAACATCATCTTTAGCTGAGAAATTTGATCGTTATTATGGTTTACGTGCCGGCACCTAGTTTTTCTGTCTACCGTCCTATAATATATTGGTAAGTAGATTCCTTTGAGATTATTGAACTGCTTTGTGCTTGTGGAAGCTACGTGCTCTAATTTTTGTGTACGAAACTGATGTGTTACATTGAGACATTCATATCATATTATAATCTGTAAACAATACACGTTCGTGCCGCGATTTGTAAATAATACAGAGTTAATATTGGCGACAGGAGCTATTAACGCGCGGTTTTAACACTTAACAACTAAATAATAGAGCTTGCAATTCTGTGCAAACCGAGAAACAATTTGAAAAACTGCTATGCACACTTAGGCCTATTTGATGACCTTCAGTGAGGTGTTATATGCCAATGAAAACTATTTTGTAAAATTCATTACCATGAGATCTAAAGTTACAACTTAATATCATTTAATTTTTTTCCTTCTTGACTTTAATACTTAATTAAATTGTTTCTGTTTATGATTTATTTATATAACAAAGAAAGTTAGCTTTTTTGTGATTGAATTTAATGTTGACAACTTACTGTCTATACAGTCAAATGATAGTCATAGATTTAATGACGAAAGATGAAAATATAATTTAGTATTTTAGTTTTTATAGTTCATCTGATTGATATTAAGTATAAAATTTATGTGCTAAGATAATTTGAAAAGCTCATTGCAAATGATGAATGCTATTGTCGATTGGCTGCCTCATTGTGGGATTAAAAGGAATTGTATTGGTATAATGTCTCGACATGAACATTATATTGTGTAATATGCCCTGTGTGCAATATAGAGTATCATATACCCAATATGTTAGGTATTAGAACGATTAATAAATAACCTGTATTGTCAGCGTAATAATTTAGGAGGTGCCCAAGCCAAGCAATTAGTGCTTATGCATCTCCGTGAATCCAAAACATTGTATTGTAACTGTTTGGATTATAGAATGGAAATTTTGGATGTTCTAAGTTGAACAATCGAAAAAATCTGGTTGAGGCAACCAGGTTGTCCTATTTTTATAGTAAATCAGTGATATGTTCCAGTTTGAAGGAATGTGAAACTGGGTCCTTGGGATTTATTATCACAAGTTTGTAATTTTGTGTGATTATAAGTTAATATCTTATAGCATTCTAAACATTAACAATGTTAGCTTAATCAAAGTAGGAATTAGTAGAAAGATGAAAATAATAAATACGTAAAGTAATTGCTATTTATGGATGATGGAAAAACAGTGAAGTGTTTTTGTTGTTAAATCATTATTGTATGTGCTTATAGACAATGTTAATGGCCTCATCCTTCTGTACATCATGAGGTTGAAGTATCAATTGTATTCATAATTAATACAGCGGCTGTCCCACCCCTCATACCCCCTATAACGTTACAACAAAAAGAACAGGAAAGAATATTCGATAGTAAGGACTCCCAAATGTAATCGTTATGTCCTGCTTTATTTAACAATAAAGCTGCAATCATTACTTTCTTTTACCTGCCGTAAGATCCACACATACCACTGCATTGAAGTTTTGAACAACAAGACTTCAGGACTTTGACAGTCTTATTGGAGTGATTTAATTTAATGAAGTACTAATATTAAAGTTCTTAAAAGGGGGAGGGGAAAGAGGGGTCCAGTGTTGTCTGTCAGCATGGTTGGATTTCCCTGTGGATTGGAGTAGCGGTACAAAGTGTTGCATTATAAAAATTATTTTATCCTTGTTTCAGATGAACATCCAAAATAAACCTGCAAAACATAAAACTTTCCAAACTCTTCCTGAAGACTGTTAATTTCCTTAGATTGTAATTAGTTTATTTGTTAGTATAAAAAAATAATAATTTGGGCAGTGATACCGAAGGGAAGATGCCAACAAGCGAGAGAGAATCAAAAGACGGACAAGCTATTTATTTATTAATCATTTAGTATAATTAACGATACAATAACCATATACTCCTATATAAATTATAAATATATTTTAAATTGAATTAATTAAAAAAAAAAAAACAATCGAAACGGAATTGCTATTTATGAATTATTTTTAAAATACGAGATTAATGTAATATTGATGGGCCGAACATGGAAAACATGTCTTCGAATGTGTCTCTACGGAATAAACAGAGGAAAGATAATCTTATCACGAGGAAACAGGATAAGTCGCCGGAAAAGACCATCAGAGGAACTAGGGGAGCCTACAGGGCGGTCCCTTCCACTTCGAAGAGGAACGATGAGGAGGAAACGGGCTCCACGGAAAGACTGGACAGACCAAAGAAATTCATATCTCAGAATAAAACCAACTACGGTCTGGGGAAGAGGCCAGACTTCTTGCTTAAGAACAGGAACGTGCATTTAGCGTCCTCTCGCTATGGACAGGTGAGTTAATACATTATATTTGTAACATTTCAATAGTTATTATTACTGGTGGTAGGACCTCTTGTGAGTCCGCGCGGGTAGGTACCACCACCGTGCCTATTTCTGCCGTGAAGCAGTAATGCGTTTCGGTTTGAAGGGTGGGGAAGCCGACGTAACTATACTTGAGACCTTAGAACTTATATCTCAAAGTAGGTGGCGCATTTACGTTGTAGATGTCTATGGGCTCCAGTAACCACTTAACGTCAGGTGGACTGTGAGCTCGTACACCTGTCAGCAAAAAAAAAGTCAAGCTTCAGTTATGACTTCCTAGTCGTCTGTTATTATGAGTTTTGATATCATTAATCTTAATTCCAGTAATTTCATCCTGATTGCTTAATTAGCTTGCTAAGCGATTTCTACGAATTCGACGGAGAATATAAAGACAACAATTGAGATTTTTTATTTAGAGGGGCGAAAGAAGGCACTAGTGTTAAAAATGATTACCAGAGTTCACACATAACAAAGCACCTCCAACTTTAAGTTATGAGACCCAATTAGAATTTTTTTTTTAATGAACACGTCTTCGTATCGGATAGCTAGACTGCATCGCGCCAGAAATATTCAGGATTCGATGAGCAGACGATCTATGTGTTTCGATTAAATTATATTTAGCTTCGTAAATCGTTTAGTACCATCCATTTTTATCGTGTGTATGGAGGGGGGGGGGGGGGGGGTTGAGTACCTGGGTGAATATTTGAAAACGTGCATTTTTGATGTCTTGCTGTGAATAACACATTAAACCTAAATAGATTTTGGTCACTTTTTTTATATACATAGTTAATGAAGGGGGGTACTTATTGCTGATCAATTTATTGTGTTTTATAAGCTATAAGCCATTTTATAAAAAAAATAGTTCCCAAAACCTCACTACCATCCGTGTCCCTTTTCCCAATTTTCAACCATTATCATAAGAAAAATTAAACGAAACCTTTGAAGAATAAATTTTTTTCTTATTATTTAGTAAATATAATAGTTAATGTATAAACTGAAATAAAATATATGATATAAAGAACGGTTTCAGTTAATTTTATACCAATTCAAAAATTGTCCCACCCTTCGTACTACTTACCGTTCGCGAATATTGACAGTGACATAGAATTGTACCCAATGATAAATGTCATCCTCACGACGACTCCCCACCACGACCTCAGTGCCCGCTAGTGACTTGAGCAGATTACACGTCTTAAAGAGCGATTTGGCGCCAACGAAAAATTAATAATCTACAAAAAATCGTCCAGGTCAAAATAAAATCTCCTTACCTTTCGTGTCTTATATAGGTAAGTTATTTGCTCAGATTAATTTAAATAATGATTTAAATATTTGCCATAAGATTATTTCTCGTCTGATAACGTATTTATTCTCATAAGTCTAATAAATAATGCAACGTACACAAATGTTTCCAAATATCTACTTCCAATTTTACTATTTACCATTTTTCCCGTTCACATTTTACCCGAATGGTAAGGAACAAGCTGGAATGGTAAGTAGGTATTTTTTCTATTTAAATGTAATATTGTTTTAATAAATGCTATATTTAAACTGCCGTGTAAATTACTAAACCACTACAAATTTCAGATTTAAGAAAAGCGCAACATAGCACTTTCTGGGCTTTTTTCTGTCACTGTTAATCTTCTCTTAGAGTAGTGGTTTGATATTTGTACAGCTGTATTAAATATTTATTATCTCTATCGTCGCTTTTTTGGTTTCTATCTATACTTATTCAATGAATAGGTATAGGTATGAGTTGTTAGCTCCACAACCGTAATCTACACAGACTCCGAGACTGTCATCGGATAGACTGTCATCGGACTTCCACAGAGAAGTCCGATGACCTTCTGGTCCAAACTCTTCGCCTCGAACTCGACTGTGGACGACGGGGGTGCCACACCACCGAACATCCCCCGGTGTCATAGTTCCCTGCCGGAGATCTGCTTTACACAGTGTGCAGTCAGGCGGGAACTCCGACTCCTGGACGTCCATAAGTCAAGTGGACCGGACGGCATCCCTGCTGTGGTTCTGAAAACGTGCGCCCCTGAGCTGACGCCTGCGCTAACGCGTTTGTATCGCCTCTCTTATTCACAGGGTTCTGTCTTCTTGGAAGACCGCCCACGTCTCCAAGAAGGGTGACCGGTCGGACCCATCAAGCTATAGGCCTATCGCGATAACTTCCGTGCTTTCCAAGGTGATGGAGCGAATAATAAATATACAACTCCTGAAGTATCTTGAAGATCGCCAGCTGATCAGTGACCGATAGTATGGTTTCCGTCACGGTCGCTCAGCTGGCGATCTTCTTGTATACCTTACTCACAGGTGGACTGAAGCCTTGGAGAGCAAGGGCGAGGCTCTTGCTGTGAGCCTTGATATCGCGAAGGCCAACGACAGGGTCTGGCATAGGGCACTTCTGTCGAAGCTACCATCTTACGGAATCCCCGAGGGTCTCTGTAAGTGGATCGCTAGTTTTTTGGATGGGCGGAGCATCACGGTCGTTGTAGACGGTAACTGTTCTGATACCATGACCATTAAAGCTGGCGTTCCACAAGGTTCGGTGCTCTCCCCCGCGCTTTTCATCCTGTATATCAATGACATGCTGTCTATTGATGGCATGCATTGCTATGCGGATGACAGCACGGGGGATGCGTGATATATCGGCCATCAGAGTCTTTCTCGGAGCGTGTTGTAAGAGAGACGATTAAAACTTGTGTCTGAAGTGGAAAACTCTCTAGGGCGAGTCCTCAAATGGGGTGAATAGAACTTGGTTCAATTCAACCCGTTAAAGACACAAGTTTGCGCGTTCACTGCGAAGAAGGACCTCTTTATCATGGCGCCGCAATTCCAAGGAGTATCCCTGCAACCTTCCGAGAGTATCGGGATACTTGGGGTCGACATTTCGAGCGATGTCCAGTTTCGGAGTCATTTGGAAGGCAAAACCAAGTTGGCGTCCAAAATGCTGGGAGTCCTCAACAGAGCGAAGCGGTACTTCACGCCTGGACAAAGGCTTTTGCTTTACAAAGCACAAGTCCGGCCTCGCGTGGAGTACTGCTCCCATCTCTGGGCGGGGCTCCCAAATAACAGCTTCCATTTGACTCCATACAGAGGAGGGCCGTTCGGATTGTCGATAATCCCATTCTCACGGATCGGTTGGAACCTCTGGGTCTGCGGAGGGACTTCGGTTCCCTCTGTATTTTGTACCGTATGTTCCATGGGGAGTGCTCTGAGGAATTGTTCGAGATGATACCGGCATCTCGTTTTTACTATCGCACCGCCCGCCACCGAAGTAGAGTTCATGCATACTACCTGCGTATCACTGCGGAGCCACTGCGGTCATCCACAGTGCGTTTCCAGAGGTCTTTTTTGCCACGTACCATCCGGCTATGGAATGAGCTCCCCCCCACAGTATTTCCCGAGCGCTTTGACAAGTCCTTCTTCAAACGAGGCTTGTGGAGAGTATAAAGCGGTAGGCAGCGGCTTGGCTCTACCCCTGGCATTGCTGAAGTCCATGGGCGACGGTAACCACTCACCATCAGGTGGGCCGTATGCTCGTCTGACTACAAGGGCAATAAAAAAAAACCGGTCAATGCTATTTGGTGCATGTCACATGACCTTGAATAATTAGTTCTAGGATACGCTGGTTACCTCACAATGTTTTTCTGAGGCGTTATGGAGCAATGGTGATGATAAAATGTCCACAAAAGACGTACGTCTGGTGGTGTTCAAACCTTTAACTTACAAATAGTAAGTCTGAAGCCGTAATCACTGGGCTACCAGTTCTCTCATTGCGGATTACGGCCTAATACCTCCTAACTCTTAAAATAGTTAAGAAGAGACCTATGGGATAGTAATGGATAATAATAATAATGATGCGCTCCAAAACCATTAGACCTACATATATGTTACACCACGTTTCTTTAATATTTAGAGACTCATTAGCAGTGGGATATATCCTTACCATATTTTTAGCATGGAAGTAATGTAATAAAATGAGATACAGTAGCACTTATAGGAAACCTACGGGATCTACTCCACAGGATATCAATTTATATTACAGATAAAATGCCGCGGAAAAAACAGTCACACGAAGAGACATTGGCAAAAGCCCGACTTGCACGGCGAAACAGATATGCAAAAATAAAAGCAGATCCAGCTTTATATGCCTTAGAGAGGGAGAAGGAAAGGAAGAGGTACATAAAAAGAAAAGAGGAAAAGAAAATTTTAAGTGCTTCTGAATTGACCCCAAGAGCTAGAAGAATACAGAGAAGGAAATGGAGAGAAAATTTCAGAAGACAGTACCAGAGAAAACTCTTAGAAAAGAAAAGAACAGAAGAAGTTTTTATACCAATTTCCACGAATAAGGGCAATGTCGATGATAAAAACAGTTATGAACTTAGAAACTCGTTTAACACACCACAACCTTCTACATCGCTAGATATAGACTACAAAGAATCAGTAACCCAAAACTTGAAGAAAAAAATTAGAACTTTGAAGAAATATATGGCGAATAAGGCACAAAAAGATAAAATAGAAATAGAGTTATTGAAGAAAAAAAATAACAAATACAAAAAAATTATTCTGAGACTTAGGAAACGCTTACAGAGTCCTAACACAAAAGCAAAAGCTCTACTGCAGGATAAAACAAAAATAGAAGAAGCGAAAAAAAAGATTTTGTTTGGGGAGGCTATGAAAAAGACATTAGAAGGCAGCTATAAAGCTTTAAAATCAAATACTGAGAAAAGAGCATTCCACAATACAATTATGCGTAAAAAAAACATTTTAAAGAAGCATAAAGTTTTGTCAGAAGCACAGAATTTCTTGCTGAGAGAGAAGAAACAGCCTCAACAAAAAAAATTTGAATACGAAAAGTTGAAACAAGATATACAAGATTTTTTTGAACGGGACAACGTTTCTAGAGCTACGGCAGGCAAGAAAGAGTTTATAACACGACAAAAGGAGAGAAAGCAGAAGAG